TGCTGGCCGAACGTCTGGTGGGATCGGGGCGAGGAGCCCACATGTTGCCACACGAGCATGTCCACTGAGAGTTAGGATTTCTTGTCTCGCACTGCCTGCATGTCCAAGTACCTCCACCCATCGTGCTATGGTGCGACTCGAGGAGGCGCTTGGCCTGGAACACGCTGAGGAGAAGGCGAGCTCGCCCTCGCTGCGCCCGCTGCCTCTTGTGCCAGGCTGGCTCGGGGGAGCCCCTGCGGCGCCCCGAGCGCGCCGTGGGTCGCGCGCGCCCTCTGGTGCTCAGCCGCCGGCCTAGCCGCGGGAGCGTTCACGAGCAACTATCGTGAGGGGGGCGCGGCGCCTGAGCCCTGTGCTCCGCCAAAATGGCCTGAGCCCCAGTGGCTTTCCACCTCCTCCTCCTCCTCCTCCTCCTCCTCCTCCTCCTCCTCCTCCTCCTCCTCCTTCCCCATGTCCTCCTGCTCCTGCTCCTGCTCCTGCTCCTCCTCCTCCTGCTCCTCCTGCTCCTCCTCCTCCTCCTCTCCTCCTCCTCCTCCTCCTCCTCCTCCTCCTCCTCTCCTCTCCTCCTCCTCCTCCTCCCCTCCTCCTCCCTCCCCCCTCCCCTCCTCCTCCACCTCCTCCTCCTCCTCCTCCTCCTCCTCCTCCTCCTCCTCCTCCTCCTCCTTCCCCATGTCCTCCTGCTCCTGCTCCTGCTCCTGCTCCTCCTCCTGCTCCTGCTCCTCCTCCTCCTCCTCCTCCTCCTCCTCCTCCCCCGGCCCCGGCCTCCGGCAGCCGCGACAGCCACCGCCCGCCGGCCCGCAGCGCGCGCTCCCGTGCGCGGGGCCCCGCGGCGCCGCCGTGCGCGGCCGCGAAGCGCGCGAGGCCGGGCGGTGGCGGCCAGGGCCGCGCGGCCAGGGGGCAGGGCGCGGGGGCGGCGGGCCCGCCGCCCAGGCAGGCGCCGGCGGCGTCGAGCAGCCGCTGGAGCGCGGAGAAGAGCGCCCGCTCCTCTCGACCGGGCGCTGCCATAGAACCCAGAGGTCCGGCGCGCCAGAAAAGTTTGACCTGGACCGGGCGGTGTTTGCTATTTTGTTCGGCCTTCGGGGGCCCTCGCCGGGCCCCGGGACCGTCAAGAAACAGTTCAGGACGAAAAACCGGCCCTGGGGAGGTGGTCCAGACCTCCGGTGCCCACACACCGAAAAAATTGGACACACTGTGCCCGCAGTGACGCCGCATCGAAGGCCACACATACCTCAACAGGGACCGACTGTCAAGGCATTCCGACAGGCTTACCACGGAATCCCACTAGCCAGCCACCCTGTGGGCGCGAATGGTTTAGAGCGCATTCTCTTCCAACCCCCTTCTTCCCCTTCGGGGAGTGATTCATTCGTGTGTGCAGACCCATCACCCGCCAGACTGGCGACCAATCCGGGACCATGCCAACACCCCCCCCGCCATCCCTGACAACAAACCTACTACAAAGTACACTTTGCACTACAATCTGAATCATGCGCCGGCGCCCCGCGATGACACCTCTCCTTGGACTTTGACAAGGACGGCGGAGGCGCCAGCAAACTGCCTGCTGGGTGCAATGCGCCTCCCCAGCATTCGTTGCCAAAAACCATACAAAGTGCAATTTGCACCAAACCCTGGATCATGCGTGGACGCCCCGCGATCACCCTGCATCGGTTGCCAGCAGAGACGGCGGGGGGGGGGCGGCATACTGCCTGGTGTGTGCAACGCCAGTACCCCCAAACATCCCTGGCCAAAGAACGATACAACATGCATGTTGCACCAAACTTTGGTCCTGCGCGGACGCCCCGCGATCATTTTGCAAGGTTTCTCGCAGGGACGGCAGGGGGGGGGCGGCATATTCCCCAATGCGTGTAGGCCCACCATCCGCTTCACCGAAAGGTGCAACGCATTTCGCACCCAGCTGGCGTCTGCCTTGGTTCCCGATGGTTGTCGATGGCGTTGCTTGCGCTGAGACTCGGGTGCGACTAATGTAGTGGGAGGGAGGGTGGGAGTGAGCAACAAGGCTTGCGGCTTGTGATAGCTAGACCCCCCACCCCGCACCCCCACGCCCTCCCCTGAGCCTGGACGGGGGGGGGCGGCAACCAACTGGAGCGTCCAGGAAGACCAAGGTGGCTTCAAGAGGGCCTCAGAGAACCCAAGATGACCTCAAGGTTGGCCCAAGGTGGCTCAGGATAGCTCAAGGGTAGCTCAGGCTAGCCTCCAGCATGCTCTAAGAGCCCCCAAGATCGCGCCAAGACGGCTCCAACTGGCACGGGGCCTCCCAAGGAAACAGTTGTTTTGGGCGACGCGCGCGCTGAGCGGCCGCGGCGCCGCGCAGCGGCGCCCAACGCCTCAAGAGGCGGTGCCCGGCTCAGGCGAATGAACCTAACCGAGAGGCCCAAACCCTCCCAAAACCTAAGGGGAATCGACCTGTGTTGCATTCTCGCCGTCTCCCTGCGACGGCTCTCGAAGGGTGGCTCTCAGAAGGCCCACTGAGAGCCCTAAGAGGAAGCTAAGAGGGTCTCAAGACGGCCCCACGAGCGCCCAAGAGCGCTCCAAGACTGATCCAAGATGGGTCCACGAGGCGATTTCAGGAGCGCTAGACGAGCGACGCTGAGTTGGCCTTCTTTGACCGAACTTCTGGAAGATGGCCCTAAGAGGGCCCCCAAGGTTCCCAAGAGTACCCCAAGAGGCGCCCAAGAGGCTCCGAAGACAAAGAGGCCACTGGGACCGCCAAGAGACCCCAAAGAACTCCCCAGAGGACCCCGAGAAGCTCTCAAAAAGCATCCGTAGAGACTTCGAGAGAAGGCATCCAAAAGGCCTCTGGCCTTTCTGCTTGCCCTCCTCCTCCTCCTCCTCCTCCTCCTCCTCCTCATCATCCGCTCATTCCTCCTCCCCCTCCTGCTCCCTCCGCCTTCCTCCTCCTCCTCCTTCTCCTTCCCCTCCTCCTCCTCCTCCTCCTCCGATTTCTCCTGCGTCTTTCCCCTCTTCGGGTGCGTCGGCTTCCCCAACCTTCTGTTCCACTGCATGCTCCTCCACATCCCTGATCATGGCAACTCGCCCGGGCATCGTTTCTGGATGGGCTGGTGGGGTTACGCGAAACGCATTTAGCTGTAATGTACCCGATGTTCTGTATGAAGCAAAAGATAGGATGATCAACGCGCTGTGTTTATAACAAAAAGGCGCCGTCCTTTCGATACGAACACAAAGACCCCCGAAAAATATAGCCCGACCACATGTGGTTCTCATTAACAAGAAACTCTTCGAAGATGTCGCGGTGGGCCCAGACAGCCATCGCGCTACCACAAGACACGCTGAATCCGCTGGCCCGCTTGCGGGGGCACCCATGCTGCGTGGCGAGGGCTGTCCTGCGACCTGCTCCAGTTCCAGTTTGCAATATGATCCAATGGTATAGTTCCACTTTCTGCTTGCTGCTATATTGGGCGCCCGAGTTATCCGGGGTAACTCGGGTCCGGGGTAACTCGGGTTTGGATTCCCGAGAAAGGAACCCGAGTTAGCCCTGACCCGAATTATCCCTGATGATTCGGGGCTCTGGACGCCCGAGTTATCCGGGATAACTCGGGTCCAGGGTAACTCGGGTTTGGATTCCCGAAAAACGAACCCGAGTTAGCCCTGACCCGAGTTACCCCTGATGATTCGGGGCTCTGACTATACATTGTTACTGTCCGCGCGAGGGGAGGGACCGACAAGGAACCAAAATGCAGTCCCCGAATCGCGTTGCCTGCATTTCTGGTGGGCCCTGGGGCACATACCAAGACACGGGCTTCGGGGCCCCGACGCAGAATCCCTTTCCTTCCAGGAGGTCAGAATCCTTTGTAGATGACAACAACATCGCGCTCTCCTCCTCCTCCCCCTCCTCTTCCTCCTCCTCCTCCCCCTCCTCCTCCTCCTCCTCCTCCTCCTCCTCCTCCTCCTCCTCCTCCTCCTCCCCCTCCTCCTCCTTCTCCTCCTCCTCCCCTGGAAGAAGCAGCCCGCCCACCCCTCCAGAACCCGTAGTAAACTACACCAGGCTCGCGTTCCCGAAGCCGAGGCCAGTCCTTGGTAGGTTGCGCCAGCTTCGCGCCCCCGAGGCGACGATCCTCGGCAGCCTGCGCCAGAGTCGCGCCCCCGAGGAAGCGATCCCTTGCAAATGACGCCGGCAGCCGTCCTCGCACGAGGCTCCGAGATGGCTTCAAGTCGGCGCACAGGCACCCCAACAGAGCTCTGGCACGTTCTAAAAGGGGGGGCCAGCGGCAGAGGGCGAAGCGTTGACCGATCAGGAACGAAGGGGCTCCTCTGGCCATGGCGAGCCGAGGCAACGCATGGGCTCCCGGATCGGGGTACGGAGCGGCACGAAACTCAAAGCTCCCACGGAGCCCCAAAGTGGTCCTTATACTTCAGCGCGCTGACGCGTGCCGACTGTCGCCTCTCTGTGACCGGCAGCAGCCGGCGTGCACATGACTTCTCGGAGCTCCGCGCGGACTTCTCGGACCGGCGCTGGGCCCCCCCGTCGGCGCCCCGGCGAGCTCCGCGCGCCGAAAGTCCACGCTCATGCCGTTTCTTGCTTCTCTGCCTGCGGCCCGACCCGGGTAAGGAGCCGGACTCTATACACCGACGCCTGCTCCGGGCCCGCGCAGACATGCGCACAGGAGAATGGGTCCTGGTGTATACGGGGTCCTGGTGTATATGCAATATGCATGTTTCGTTGTTTCCCCAGGACAACGGGGGGAAAAGTATGTACCACACCACTCCGACGTCGTCCCCGATGCTCAAAAAGTCCTGGGATCGAAACGCACCCCGCCACTGGCAATTCATGTATACGCTCCAGTTTCCGACAGGACACCCCGTCAGCGCCCCACTGGCGCGCTTGTTTTGTTTCTTTTCAAAAGAAGAAAGCAGCACCATGAACATAAACTTTGGCGCTCCTCGCGGAGCGCCAAAAGTTTGAGCGCCAAAAGTTTACGTTTGTGCGATTTTGTTCTTCGATTTGTGTTGTTCGCTGCGCGCCCGTCCTCCGCCTCGCCCTCCGACCCCGCGCCCGCCAGCGCGGCCCCGACCCGGCGCGCGGCGCCGGCCAGCAGGCCGCGCACGCGCCCCGCGCCGCGCGCCCACAGCGCGGCCAGGCTGCCCGCGCACCTCGGGGCACGGCGAGGCAGGACGAGGCCAGCACGAGGACGAGATCGGGTGAGCATTAGATCGAGAACCTCTGGGGATTAGAAAGAGAAACACGCCGCAGACGTAAACTGTTGCCGCTCCGCGCGGACTTATTGGGTCTGCGCTGGGGCCCCCCCTGACGGCGCCTTCCGGCGCAGGCGGGGGTCCAGCGCAGATCCAAGAAATCCCCGCGGAGCGCCAAAAGTTTGTGTTTATGGCGTTTTTTTTTCAAACGGCACAGTCGGACTTGACTGGACAGGACACCCGAGGAGACGCAAGACTCCTCGGAAGGCAACGTGGCCCCAGCGCAGGAGGGGGCATGCGGGTTGCAAAGGTCGGGATGAACAGGACACAAGGGTGCACTCGATCTGGCGTGGTCGACCTACCAATCAGGGCCGGCTGTACATTGAGGATCCATGAAATGTGGCGGCTCTGGAGGATGTCTCGGGCGCCGCGGCCTTCTCAGAGCGTTCCGAAACGCCCTGGAACGGATTGATCCTCATCCTAGCCCCGTCTGGGCGAGTCAAATTACTGGGTGCCAGTCTCGTCCAGCCTCCATCGGTAGCGACCGATCGGCACTCCAAATCGGTCGCGACCGATCGCGACCGATTCCAGAATCTGTCGCGACCGATCGGTCGCGACTGATCGGAAAGTGACGTAAGATCGGCCGCGACCGATCTCGTCGACCGCGACCAGAAAATTCTGGCACCCAGTGAACTTGAGACAGCGGCAGCTCAGAATTGGTACAATGCCCAACAACGACAAATGGATGAATCTCATCAGCGGGTCTTACCCGAAGTGACGTAGCGACCTTGCGCGGTGGCTTACGCGGGCCGCCGGCGCGGCACACTCTGTTGGAAAGGATAGCGCTTGCGCGCGACTTACGCGGGTAGCTTACGCGCCAATGTCGGCGCAGACGAATCCGTTTTCTTGCGTCGCCCAACTGCTGGCGTAAGCCAATAACGGCCGCTGTTGGGCGGGTGGCCTTCTGCCTCAAATGAGCCACGTCCGCGGCGGCATCGACAGCGAGCCCTGCTCAGAACGAGTAGGAGCTGCTTGCGGTCTTTGTGCTCATTCCTTCCGTACCCACTCTTGCCTTGCATCTTCGGGGGGCCGTGTCTGTCCCCTCGCGCCGCGAACCCGTGTCTAACCTGTGTCGAACCCATGTCGAACCTGTCGAATCCGTGTCGAATCCGTGCCGGACCCGTACCGGATCCGTGCCGACTCCGCGCCGAGCCCGCGTCGGGGCACAAGAAACCCTGAAATCTGCAGGACAGGAATCACTGGCGGCGCGCAGGAGGGGGGCGGGAGGGGGGAAGGCTTCTTAGAGGGAAGTTACTTCTTAGAAGGCGCCCGCCTTCTATCTACACACATTTACGTACATATATATATGTACATATATAGATATACTCAAGCACAATATCCTGTTGGCTCACATCGCTTCGCCATAACAGATTGTCCCTCATCCTTATTATTGTCCATGGGTGGAAGAGTGTGGTGTGCTTGTGAATGAACTTCATGGGTCCACACGCACACACATCTATACATATATATATATATATATATATATATGAGAGAGAGCGTGATCCACCGCCGCTTTACTGTGGAAATTTGCCAACCTTTTCCTCCGGAGCCCGGGGGTCTCCCCCCCCCCTCCGAAAATCCCCCCCCCCCCCCCCCGGAACCCTTCCCCCCCCCCCCCCCTCCCCCCCCTCCCGGCAAACCCCCCCCCTCCCCTAACCCCCCCCCCTCCCCCTCGAAAACCGGGGGGGGGTCACTACCGGTTCGAACCCCTCCCCCCCCCCCCTCCGGATCCGGAAAACCGGGGGGGGTCACTACCGGTTGGACCCCCCCCCCCCTCGAAAACCGGAGGGGGGTCACTACCGGTTCGACCCCCCCCCCACGCACCGCCAGCAAACGACTCCCGGTCCCTACCACCGCTCGCATCACATCCCCCACTGTTGTTCCCAGCACCACTGTCCTCACCACCACTGTCCCCACTGGTTCCACCACCGTCCCTATTGTCCCCACCAATGCCCCCACCACTGTCGCACTGTCCCCACTGTTCCCACAACTGTTCCCACCACGGTTCCACTCTCCCCACTGTCTCCACGGACCCAACCACTGCCTATCCCCATTGTCCCCACTGTCCCACTGACTCCTCCGCTGTCCCACTGAGCTGTCCCACTGTTTCCACCACTGTCCCCACTGTCCCCACCACTGTCCCCACTGTACCTCTGTCCCATTGTCCCACCGCCGTCCTCGCCACCGCCTTTACCAGTGTCTCCACCACCATTGTACCCTCCACTGTCCCAGTGTTTCCACCTCATTCCCACTGTCCCCACACCACTGTCCCCACCACCACCGTTCCCACCACTGTCCACTGTCCCCCCTGTTCCCACCATTGTCCCCACCACTGTCCCCACCACTACCGTCCCCACCACTGTCCCACTGTCCCCCCACTGTCCCCACCACTGTCCCGCTGTCCCCTCACCACTGTCCCCACCAACACCGTCCCCACCACTGTCCGCACCCCCACTCGGTTTTCGAGGGGGGGGGGGGGTTCGAACCGGTAGTGACCCCCCCCCCTTTTCATGATTTCGGGGTAGGGGTTCGAACCGGTAGTGACCCCCCCCGGTTTTCCGGAGGGGGGGGGGGGAGGGGTTCGAACCGGTAGTGACCCCCCCCGGTTTTCCGCCAGCAGCGGTAGAACACGCTCTTTCATGTGTATATATATATTATATATATATATATATATATATATATATATATATATATATATATATCCATATGATGTGCGTCGCGAACTTGACGGCTTTGGGGAAATCGGGATGCTGTTATTGCAGGGCCGATCAAGGAGGACAATTGCGTCGGTGGTCGTGCTCGCGGTCGTGCCGGTGTTCGTGTTGGACATCGTGCCGGCGGGCGTGCTGGTGGCCGTGCTGCTCGTCACGGTGGCGGTCGTGCTGGGGATGGTGCTGGTGGGCGGTCGTGCTGGCGGTCGCGCTGGTGGTTGTGATTGTGGCCGTGCTGGCGGTCGCGGGGCCAGCGTGGGCGTAGGTTTTCATGAGGTGTGAGCATGTCTGGAAGCGAAAAGCCACCCAACGGGCCGAACCAATTTTTGGTTTACGTCGACGACTGTTTTTTTTCCTTCCAAGGCCCAGAACTGGGGGTGTCCAGCGCTCTCTGGGCAGGCCAGCATCGAAGGCCGTCGTGGGTGTGGGCTTTCGTGGGGGGGGAAAGAGCATGTCCAGGGGCGCAGAGCCACCCGATAGGCTGAACCAATGTTTGGTTCACGTCGACGGCTGTTTTTTTTCTGGGGCTCGGGATGGGGGGCGTCTGGCGCCCTCTGGGCAGGCCGGCTGAAGGACCGTCGTGGGTGTGGGTTTTCGATCGGATGAGAATGGTCAGGGGCACAGGGCCACCCGACGGGCGAACTCAATTGCGGTTCGCGGCGACGGCTCCGTTTTTGAGCTCGGGGCCAGCCTGCCGGCCGGCGCACAGGATTTGTTCCCAACCATGCTGTGGTGTTGGGTTTTCGTTTTGAAGAGACGGTGCCCCGCGTTCCTCTCCTCTCCTCCTCTTTTCCTCCTCCCCCTCCTCCTTCCTCCTCCCTCCCCCCCTCCGTGCCTCTGCCTTCCACATGTCCATTCCTACACACCCCTCACGCGCTTCGTGACCCCGTAGGAGCCCCACCGAAGGCCCCAATGGCGGTGTCCACATGCGTCCGCGCCACCCATTTCGGGTCACCCCTCACACGTTTCGTCGCCCCATACGGAGCTCCACCGAACTGTGGCGGTGTCCACACGCGTCCGCGCCATCGATGTCGGCGCACCCCTTACACGTTTCGTGTCTCATAAAGAACCCCACCGAAGGCCCCAATTGCGGTGTCCACATGCGTCCGCGCCACCCATGTCGGCGCACCCGTCACAGGTGACATGCGTCCGCGCCACCCATGTCGGCACACCCTTCACACGCTTCGTAGCCCCATATGGAGCTCCACCGAAGGCCCCAATTGCGGTGTCCACATGCGTCCGCGCCACCCATGTCGGCGCACCCCTCAGATGTTTCGTGGCCCCACAGGGAGCTCCGCCGAAGGCCCCAGTGGCGGTGTCCACATGCGTCCGCGCCACCCAGTTCGGCGCACCCCTCACATGTTTCGTGGCCCCATGGGGAGCTCCACCGAAACCCCCAGTGGCGGTGTCCGCATGTGTCCGCGCCACCAATTTCGGGGCTTCCCTCACACGTTTCGTGGCCCATTTGGAGCTCCACCGAAGGCCCCAGTGGCGGTGTCCACATGCGTCCGCGCCGCCAATTTCGGCACACACCCCACACGCTTCGTGGCCCCATAGGCAGCTCAACCGAATGCCCCAATGGCGGTGTCAACATGCGTCCGAGCCACCCGTTTCGGCGCACCCCTTACACGTTTCGCCTCAGCGGCGGTGTCCACATGCGTCCGCGCCATCAATTTCGGCGCACCCCTCGCTTGTTTCGTGGAGCCATAGGGAGCTCCACCAAAGGCCCCAGTAGCGGTGTCCACATGCGTTCGCGCCACCCATGTCGGCGCACCCGTCACCAGTTTCGTGGGCCAATAGGGACCCAGTGGCGATGCCCACATGCGTCTGCGCTACCCATTCCGGCACACCCCTCGCAGGTTTCGTGGCCCCATAGGGAGCTCCACCGAAGGCCCCCACGACGGTGTCCACATGCGTCCGCGCCACTCATTTCGGCGCACCCCATCACGCGTTTTGTGGCCCCATAGGGAGCTCCACCGAAGGCCCCAACGGCGGTGTCCACATGTGTCCGCGCCACCAATTTCGGCGCACCCCTCACACGTTTCGTGGCCCCATACAGAACTCCACCGGTGACTGTATGCACAACTGCAATACTCTCAAGTGCATATGGTTGGGTCCTTCGCCAGGCTAGTTCTGTTCGAACGCGGGCGTCGCGCGTTCCCCTGCGCGTCTTCAAAGGGCGCTTGAGCCACGACGCCGCGTTCACGACAAACGCTGTCATGCGTCCTGTTGCGGTCGCCGGCGAAGGCCCCCCCCCCTGGCGAGGAGAGCCCGCAACGAACGCAACGCACTTCTGGTCGGCGCCGGGACATGCCGGAAGTCTGCGGCGCAGCGGCGGCGCAAGCGATGCACGCGCGGGTGGCTCGGTTGCGTTGGCGCACTGGGAAGTCCAGGCGCGGGGCGTCCTGGTCGCACCGAGTGCAGCGCAGCGTGTCTGCGCTGGGACGTCCGCGAAAGGCTGGCTTCTTGCGAACGGCGGAGGAGTCAGCATCAACCGCGCACTTTGCCGGAAAGACAGGGCGCAAGTAAACGAAGCCAGTGATGGAGGCGCCGGCAGCAGCAGCAGGCAGAATGTGCGAGGGACAACAGCGATCGGTGGAAGTCGCCCGCCATGATCTCAATCAGCGCATGGCGAGGCGGAACACCAACGGAACCCTGGAGCCAAAGCCTACGGAGCAGCAGCGGAAGCCTGGAAAGTCAGAGGTGTGTACGTCGTCGCTGGTACTGGGAGCCTTGGCGTTCAGAGCTCCTGACGTCATGGGGTTTGCGGGAGCCTTGGCATTGAGAGGCCTGTCGGGTGCCTCCTGGGGCCTCCAAGGCGACGCAAGGTAGCCTCCACCATTGCACAATCGAGGCAAAGTAAGGGACACAACCAAAGCAGGCATCACGAAGAAACCACCCACCTGGGTGCCGACGTACTTCTACAGTTTGCTGGATACGGCGCCGCGTGCTTGACCAGGAGATGGCGTCCAAGCCCAAGTGTTCAATTCAGGCAACACTAAAGACCAATATAGAACTGAAGCCTACAGATGTTCTATGGCACTGACGCTCTGCTGGACACAACGCCGTGTGCGGGGTGAAATCAGGGGCTGCGTGTGCTTGTTCTGTGCGTCTGTCGGCAGGGGGCGGCAGCGCGAAGAATTCCCGCGAACCCACGGATTTGAACGGCTTGTATGCCTGTTGGGCGCCGTTTGCGGGCCTCATGGGGGGCTATTGGGAGTCTCTTGGGGGCCTCTTGGGGCCTCCTTGGGGCCTCCTAGGGGCCTCCTGGGGGTCTCTTCGGGCTCCTGGGGGCCTCTTGGGGCCGAGGAGTGGAAACGTCGGGTCAGACCCCCCTTCGGAGCATTTCTTGGAGCCGTCTTGAGGGTATCTTGGACTGCCTTAGAAGCCTCTTGGACCGTCTTTGCCCTTCTTGGACCGTCTTGGGACCCTTTGGGCCGTCTGGGGGCGATCTTGGAGGCCCCATGTGGCCGTCTTGGAGCGTCGGGAAAGGCAAACGCAAGAACCTGAAAAACCTTCAAAGACCATAGAAACATCAATGCTTTTGCCTCTAGGGGCCCTCTGGGCATGTCGCTTGGAGGCCTATTGGGGTGTCTTGGAGGCCTCTTGGGCCGTCTTGGGACCAACTAGGGCATCTTGGAAGGATCTTTGGGCGTCTCGGAAGCCCTCTGGGGCCGGTCGTAATTTCGGGCATTCTCGAACTGTCTTGAGGCCGTCCAGAGCCCATCGGGTGAGGGGGGCGAATTGGGTGACGCCCATCTGGGTGACGCCCATCTGGGAGGAGTTGTCCTTTCATCATTTGTTAGGGAATCCATACATATATATATATATATGTATATATATATACGCATGCATGTTTATGCATATAAGTGTATGTGTATGTACGAGTATGCATGCTTATGTATGTATAAGTGTGCATATGTATGCACATGTGTGTAACGGTGTGTATGTGTATATGTGTATGTGTGTGCATTCGTATGTCTACGTATGTGTATGTATGTAGACGTGTACGTGTGTGTGTACATGTGTATGTATGCATGCATGCATGCATGCATGCATGTATGTATGTATGTGTGTATGTATGTATGTATGTATGTATATATGCGTGTATGTATGTGTGGATGCATGCATGTATATGTGTATGTATGTATGTATGTATGTATGTTTGTATGTGTATGCATGTGTATGTGTGTACGTATGTATGTATGTATGTATGTATGTAAGTATGTACGTATGTATGTATGTATGTATGGATGGATGGATGGATGTATGTATGTATGTATGTACGTACGTATGTATGTATGTATATGGATGTAGGCATGTATGCATGTACGCACATCTGTATGTGTATATGTATGTATGTATGCATATATGCATGTGTGTATGTATGTATGTATGCATGCATGTATGTATGTATGTATGCATGCATGCATGTATGGATGTATGCATGTATGTATCGATTGATGGATGGATGTATGTATGTATGTATGCATGTATGTATGTATGTATGTGTATATATACATAGATAGCTACGCGTATATATACACACACAAAAAACGAGGCCCGCGCCGTCTAAGAAGCAGGGTTCTTCTAAGAAGCCTTCCCTCCCCCTACCCCGCCTCCCAGACCCCCGACGTCATAATTTTTTCATGACGTCGACCCCCAGGGTTCTCGACCTATTCCCCAGGACTGGCTTTTCGTCCCGAGCCGTCTTTTGACGTTCCCGAGGCCCGAAAAGGGCCCCCAGAGGCGGAAATTATTGAAAAGTCTTCCGTCGTGATTTTTGTCATTACTCGATAGGGTCTGGGAAGGTCGCCCCGACGATTGCAGAGCGTCCGTCTCGGCATCGTCCCCGCAGGAGCACCGCCGCCGGGCTCCGCGCGTTCCGCACGCGCCCGCGGCCTCTGGCCAGAAGAGTAGGTCGGCGGCGCCCCTGCCGGCTCGGCGGCGGCCCGCTGTCCAGGGCGGCAGCCTGGGCACCGCCGCCGCCCTCCGCCGACGCCGCGGGCCCGGACCCCCCCGAGTCCTGAAGAAATCACGACGGGACACTTTTCAATATCGTCGGCCTCCGATGGGGCCCTTCCCAGGCCTGGGGACCGTCAGAAGACGACTGAGATGAAAAACCGGTTCACGGGAAGGGGTCCAGACCTCTGGGGGTCGACGTCGTGAACAAAACTCACGACGTCGGGGGTCTGGGTCTGGAGCAAAAAAGGAGGAGGAGGAGGAGGAGGAGGAGGAGGAGGAGGAAAAGGAGGACGAGGAGGAAAAGGACGAGGAGGACGACGAGGAGGAGGAGGAGAAGGGGGAGAAGCAGGAGGAGGAGGAGGAGGAGGAGGAGGAGGAGGAGGAGGAGGAGGAGGGGGAGGAGGAGGAGGAGGAGGAGGAGGAGGAGGAGGAAGGGGAGGAGGAGCGCAGCGCCTCAGGAAGGTATCCCGCCGCGCACGCGGGCGCGCGACGGACTACCCCCTGGCGCCGCCTACTCACGGCACAGTGCCGTAAGAGCAGGAGGCAATGTAGAAGGAGAGCAGCTGGAAGAAGTCCTGATGATCCGACCGATCATCCATAGAACTGTGCACCACACAAGAGAAACCCAGGAACCGCAGCACAGTGCGTTACCACTGGCAGGACTATACCCAAGTTCCTAGAACGCCACGACAGGGAAACGAGAGAGGGAGAGAACAGCGGAAGGACATAAACACACCAACAGCCAGCAGGCTCCGTGCGAAGGCAGTATGAAAACAGTGGAGGGACACAAGTACACAAACAGCCAGCAAGCTCCATGCGAAGACAGTAACGGCCTGTGCAAACAAGTACTGGTTTGGCGCATAGTTGGCGAGAGGAGGCACCGCAATGCCCGCTATTGCTGGACACTCCGGGGGCGGCAGGAAACCAAGCCCGCGGCGGTGAGGCCCGGGGTCGACTGACCGCGGCCGAGAGGAGGCCGAGCTAACATGCAAAGAACGACCCTGCGAAGCACCTCGCATGCAGTAAAACTAACAGAGAGAGAGAGAGAGGAGAAAGGCGGAGAGAGGAGGGAGCCTGCGCCACTCCAATCATTCACAGCATCGGCCTGGAGGTAGCGGTGCTGCTGGATGCGCTGATGAAGCTGCTGGCGGTACTGCCAGGGCCTCTCGAGCTGGACGTACTGATGATGCTTGGCACGCTTGTGCGACTGCCGATGGCACCGTCACGCCAAGTCGTTCTGAAACTGGTGCTACTGTTGGATGCGCCAGGATTGCTGCTGCTGGTGCTGCCAGGCCCCGTCGTGCTGTTGCTACCGATGCTGCTGGATGCGCTGGAGTAGCTGCTGACGGTACTGCCGGGCCCCGTCGAGACCTGGAAGTGCTGATGCTGCTAGATGAATTGGTGGCTGCTGGCGGAACTGCCACGTCCCGTCGTGCTGAAAGTGGTGTTGCTGCTGGGTGTGCCAGGGATGCTGCTGCCAATGCTGCCAGGTCCGATCGTACTGGCGGCAGTGGTGCGGCTGCATGCGCTGCTGTAGCTGCTGACGGCGCTGCCAGGTCCAGGGCGGAAGTGCAGGCGTCTATTCCGACACATGCTCCAATGCCGACGCTGAGAGGCGCGCCAAAGCAGAAAACCAGCCAGCTCAAGAGGCTGAGTTCGGAGTATTGGTGCTGCTGGCTGCGCTGGTGCGGCTGCTGGATGGGCCGTGAGAACCAATCAGGAAGGATTTCAGCGATGTGCTCCTCCAGCATGTCTGGAGTCGTTGCAAGCGTCGATGCTGCTGGAGTCAGTGCCGGAGTTGGTGCTGGCGTCGATTCTCAGGCGTCGATGCTGCTGGCGTGAGTGCCATCGTCGGTGCCACCATTGATGCTGTTGGGGTCGGTGCTGCCGACATCGCGGTTGGCGTCAGTACCAGCGTCGATGCTGCTGGTGTCGATGCCAGAGTCGGTGTCGGCGTCGAAGCCATGCTGCTGATGGCGTAGGTACCGGAGTCGGTGCCAGCGTCGGTGATTGCGTCGATGCTGCGGGCGTCGGTGCCAGGGCTCATGCAGCATCGATGCTGCTGGCGTCAGTGCCAAGGAAGGTGCTGGCGTCGATGTAGTCGGCGTCCATGCTGGCGACAGTGTCGTCGTCCCTACCGGCTCCAGGGCAGGGCACCTTCTGGAACGCCACGCCTATTACCCACGGGAGGTCTTGTCGGCCTCCTCATCCTCCTGCTTCACCTCCTCCTCCTCCTGCTTCACCTCCTCCTCCTCCTCCTCCTCATCATCATCATCAGCATCAGCATCAGCATCAGCATCAGCATCAGCATCAGCATCAGCATCATCATCATCATCATCATCATCATCATCATCATCATCATCATCAGCATCATCATGTTCATCATCTTCATCATCATCACCATCATCATCAGCATTATCATTATCATCACTACCAGCATGATCGTCCTCCCTCCTCGCCACTGAGCGAGCGGCCTCCCCTGCACATGAGGAGGGAGGTCTCCCCGTGTGGGGGCGGAGGGCGGCCCGTTTTGCGATGAGGCAGTGCTCTTTGTGAGGCAAACCTCTCGCGCGGGTTCGCTTCTCTGTTCTCCATGTCTCCATGTCTCCATGTCTCCATGTCTCCATGTCTCCATGGCTCCATGGCTCCTCCTCCTCCTCCTCCTCCTCCTCCTCCTCCTCCTCCTCCTCCTCCTCCCGCGCGTCCTCGCCCCGCCTCCTCTGCTCGCCCGCCCCTGCACCTCCCCCGCTCCCCGGCGCCCGCGCGCGGGTCGGCGGCGGTCGCCCGGAGGGCGCGCCACCTCCCTGCAGCCTCCGCCTCCGCCGCATCCGCCCTGCCCCCCCCCCCCTGTGCGGCTCCTCCTCCCGTGTGCGCCTCCCCTCCGCAGACGCGTGGCCCGCCTCTTGAGCCGCCGGGAACGGCCGTCCCGGTCTTCCCGTCAGCCTACCACGACGTGTCCTTCCAGGACCAAGGAGTGCTCTGAGGGCAAGAGCACTGTACTTAGAACACAGCGCCGTTGGATGAAGACGTGACGGGCTCAACCAAAACGATCTAAGAACATGTCGTGCAAACACGAAAGAAGGCTTTTAGAACATTGTTTGGTGGGCCTGGAGGCAAGCCAAGACGTTTCGCCACTGCTCGATCCCCCTTCCCGATACGGCGACGGCAACACCGAGAGACCGACCGAGTCGGCAACGCACCGATCGAAACAGTAGGCCGCAGGTTACCAAGAGGAGCGCTGAGACGCGGCAGTGACACAGCAATCGACCGAACCGAGCCGACCGAACCGCAACCGACTGCGACGCAGCCGAGCCGACCGAGCCGCGGACCCCCGTAGACCCCCTCCTCGTTGTGCTCGTCGCCACCCTGCCCCTTCCTCCCCCCTCGAGCGTGGCAGGCCCCCACTGCACGCAGGAGTGACCCCAGGCAAGAGTGGCCTCTGGCGTGCAGCTTCAGGGGGCCGCGGAAGGCCCATATCCAGGCGTGCCTAGCCAGGTGCCGGGGGGGAGGCCCTGTGGCCACAGAGCCAAGAAATCACTCCAGCGAACAGGGCTTCTCCTGCGCGCAGCCCAAGGTCAGGCTTCGCCACTCGGGCGCTGCTTCATGAGAGGGCAGTAAGTTGATGGGGTGAAGATAGGTGGTCCTCTTATGCACCTTCGGAGCACCAGGGGGCCCTATCTTGGGCCCCGTTCCTGCAACCCCAACCCCCCTCTTCATCGCCCGCAAATACTCGGCGGCGATCGAGGGGGGAAGTGAGAAGGGGCGGGCCTTCTCAGAAGGCTCGGAAATCTCCCGGCCTTCTGAGACATTCTCTGAGCCTTCCCCGGAGACGCAATCAAAACCTCTCAGAAGGCGCGAGGGCTTCGGAGAGGCCCCGCCGCCTTCCGAGAAGGCCTACTCCTTCTCACTTCCCCCCCTCGCTCGCCGCCGAAGCGCGAAACGCCCGAGCCACGTCATGCGTGGGACCGCCCAGGGGGGGGGCGCCGCAGCAGCGCGGTGTCCACGCGCACGAACAGGACGCCGCTGGGGAGGGCCGCTTTCTCTCGGGCGCGGGCGGCCCCCGACGCGGACGGCCCCCTGCGGCGGCGTCTCTCCGAGCAGGGGGGGCACGGGACAGCCGGGCAGTGCCGAGGAGTGGGGGTCACCGCAGAGGGGCGTCGCGCCGCCCCCTCTCAGGTGAAGGGCCCCCCCCCTCCCCAAAGGATCCCACGGGGCCCCCGAGGCTCCCAGAGGCCGCCCCCACGACTTGCCAGGCTTCCTGGGTCCTCGGTCGTGCCTCCTCCTCCTCCTCTCCATCCTGGGTTTCCGAGAGGAGGCGGCGACCATCCCGGTGCTGACACATCTTGGCACTGCGGAAAAAAACTGCTTCGGGCTGCGTAAGATATGCGATATATACACACGTGTTTGCATGTGGCTACGATATGTGTTTATACCTACACATACGAGAACCATCGCGCGAGCTGCGCGCGCTAGTTCTAGTTCCCGGATGTCTCGTGAGCGGGCTTGCTTCGATCATCCACCTTCCAACTTCCACGGGGACGTCTGGATCTCTTTGCGCGCACCCTCGACCTCTCGACACCTGGGGGGCCAATCGTGAATAATATATCGCTTCTAATACCACGAGGCCCTCACTCAGGCCCTTCGAGCCCGAACACCACTACCAACGACCAACGTCCTTTCCCTCTATGAACGTCAGAGTGTTAACCCCGTCCGCCCAGGATAATCTCTTTGAGTAAGAGCCGGTTGAAACGTCACGGGCAGAAATTACTCGAATGTGAAGACGTCAGGCTCATCAACCAATTCACTGGCTACTTCCGCTCAGAGGGGAGAAGAAATCGAGGTGAAGGCGAAGATGTGTCGAGGTAAACAGTCCGAATGGTCCTGGGGCTGCAAAGAGGTTGTTGCAAGGGAGCCTCAAGGGACCCGAAACTTTTCGGTGAATCAGCTATTTTTGCCTCTGGAGGCTCTCTTGGGGAGCTTTCGGGCGGGGGGGGCGCCTCCTCAGAACGAACACCTCGGGCTGAACCTTGCACACCTCCGCGTCTCGCAGCCGGGGCGCGCCGCGGGACTCCGCGGCTTCGACCTCGGACGCCCCCCCAGGGCAACCCCCTTGACCGCGTCTCGCGGCCAGGGGTGCGCCTCGGGACACCACGGCTTCAACCTTGGACGCCTCCCCCCTTGGGCAACCCCCCCTTGACCGCGTCGCGCGGCGGGGGTGGGGCGCTTCGGAACACCAAGGCTTCAACCTCGGACGCCCCCCGGGCACCTCCCCTTGACTGCGTCTCGCGGCCGGTGAGGAGGCTCAGGACACGACGGCTTCAACCTCGGACGCCCCCGGGCACCTCCCTTTGACCGCGTCCCGCGGCTGGGGGGGGCGCTTCGGAACACCCTAGGGGGAGTCGAGGTGTCGCGGGCGACGGAAGGGCCACGCATGGCCCGCCCCATCTCAGGGCGACGGGCCAGGAAAATGGCCCGCCGCCCAGCACCATGTTCCTCGTGCGTCGCCCCCCCTGGGCTAGTGCGACGCCGAGTGCCCACTAGGACGCAGCAATCCCGACTGGTCTGTGCATATATATATATATATGTATATATGTATATATATATATACATATACATATGTGTGTAAGTGTTGACAAGTACACAGAAAACATGCACATCAACATATCTGGGCTTGTTGGTGCTAGCAGGCGTGAACCCAAAACAGTCCGTAATTGCAACGTTGAGGGGAGACTATGCGGTGTAAACTGTATGGTGGAACCTGTGCCGTGTAATATGTGTGGAGGTGAACACTATGCGGCGTAAGCTACGTGGTGCATCTTGGTCATGCAGGCCATTGTTTGAAAGCTTGAGGTGGCAGCTGTGCGATGTAGAATGTGTGGTGCCTATGGTGTGGTGCAAGCTATGCGCTGTAAGCTATGTGGTGGGAGCTATGTGGTGGGAGCTACGTGGTGGGAGCTACGTCGTGCAGGCTCAGAGCACGGGGCGCCCACGAGGCGCCCGCGAGGCGACACGAGCGGCAACGTGGAGACAACCCAACATAGCCCCAAGCGCGGGGCGCCCACGAGGAGGCACGGGCAGTCGCGTGGCGAGAACCCAGCCAGCATACCCCACAAGGGCGGGACGCGCACGAGGCGCCACAGGGCAGCACGGGCGGCAACGCTGCAGAAACCTGATCTCCCCCAAGCGCAGGACGCGCACGAGGCGGAACGGGCGGCAACGTGACAAAAACCAAGAACTTCCAACCAATTACGGAAGACAGAAAACGCAAAAACAAATCCATAAGCATAGCCACAGGCTGGTGAATCTGAACTGAAGCATTGATCGCCAGTCGATCCTGGAGGAAGCCTCTTTCTCCTGGGCGCCGCTGCTGCCTGCCTGCTTACGAAGGGATGCTGGCCACGCCGCGTGTGACACCCTGCGCCCGTGGTCTGAGAATCCCCCCTCCCCTGCAGCGAGGGCAAACAGAGGGGGGGGGGGGCGGACAACCCCACCGCTTCGTGAAATCGCAACGTGAAAGTTCTGCACCGTCCTCGGGCACCACAAGCCCTGGCAAACAATCACAGCACACGTTTCAAAGGTGTCAAGATCTGGGAGCCCTCGCTGGGCCCCTGGGCGGTCAACAAGACGATTGAGGATGAGAGGCCGGTCGCGGGGAAAAGGTCGGGACTGCCAGGCGGATCTCTGGGTAGGAGGGGCCGGAGGGGAGCAACGGGCGAGGCAGGCATGGGAGCGAGGTGTAGCTTGCTGTTGCTCCCATCGCACTAAATGACCACATCCCAGGAATCATGTCGATCACCTGGAAGAGTGTCGAAATAATGTCGAAACGGTGTCGGACGAGTGTCTCCCAGGGCCCGACACGTGAAAACCCTCGAGTTTGGGGCAACTATTCTGGCGCTCGAAATTCTTTCTGGCGGTCAAGGCTAAAGTAGGTTGGAGTATCATAAATATGTAGCTGGAGCGCGAGGAGCGAGGATGGGGAACGGTGCCGAGCGGGGGGGAGTGGAAGAGGGGGAGGGGGCGGGAGGGGGAGCCGGACGCTGACAGATGCGTACCCGTCCCTGGTACCACGACGCCTGTGGAATGGAGGACAAGCGAAGCATGCATGGTGCAGATGGGACGACAACCTGAATGGAGGAGGGTCCACCTGGGTCCCCACAGCTGAAGCACACACACCGAAGTGGCACACCCAATTGTGCCCTGTGGACCTGGGCGTAAAACACCAAAACCCCGGCGACCCCCAAAACCTGCGTGTGCCAGGATCGACCCCAGCGGGCAGTGAATCGAAGAGGAGGGGGAGGAGGAGGAGGAGGAGGAGGATGAGGAGGAGGAGGAGGAGGAGGAGGAGGAGGAGGAGGAGGAGGAGGAGGAGGAGGAGGAGGAGGAGGAGGAGGAGGAGGAGGAGGAGACGAGCGTAGGGGAGGAGGAGGAGGAGGAGGAGGAGGAGGAGGAGGAAGAAGAGGAGGAGGAGGCGTCAGCATAGAATCAAGAACTCGGTAAATCGGATCGGGCCGCGTACCGGATCGGGCTGCGTCGGCGCGGAATCGAAGTCGACTCGGGCTGGGCGCTCAGGGCGCACAACGGCGCCTTGCAGGCATCGGGCTGCATCAGATCGTGGAGTCATCGGGATCGAAGCGGATCGCCCTGGCCGACGTCGACCTCGAATCGGATCGACCAGCTCGAAGTGGGCCCTGCAAGGGCACGCAAGGGCAGGGTTCGGTTTTCGGCGGTCTCCCGTTTTCGGCGGCCGTTCGGGACGATCCGGGCACCCCCGGAACGCTCTCGGCGAGGCGCAGCTGCTGGAACGCCTCCCGGGGCAGGAGCACCTCTAGGAACCGACGAAAACATCAAAGACCTGTCCGAACTCCGATCCTCCAATCTCCTCGAACCTGACTGCATGCGCGGACCGAGATGGCCAGTTCCGGAAGCGCTGAACCAAAGCAAATTGCCCTCTCTGGGGGGCGCACGTTTTACTTCAAGGCCGGCTTCCGCCTGCCATCCGCCGCCACTTCCGCCCGCGGAGGCGGCCAGCGTTTTACTTCCGCGGGCGTCCGCCACCCTGCCGCCCGGCTTCCGCCGAGGGAGGGCTGACAACTCTTTCAATCTTCGAACGCCTTGCCATCGCTCGGGCGTCCATTCCCGGTGCCTCTGTTTGTTTTCGTGCGTGCATTTTGTTCGCAAGGCGCTTCAAGCTGCTCTTCGAGGGCCTTCGCCGGGGGAGAAAAAAGCACACGCCCGAACGACGCCCGGATGCGAGGCCCTCTCTGGAACGCCTCCGATGGACCCAGCGCCCTGCGAGGGGTCCTGCCGTCCGGCACAAGCGCCAGCAAGCCCGCGAGCAGCGACCTCGGAGCCGCCCCCCCCCCCCCCCCCGTGCCTCCTGGTCGTGTTTTTTTGTTTGAACCCAAGGGACACACAAAAAAATAGGCACGAGTCCCAGGATTCACTATGTTTTCCCATACTTTCTGGAGTTTCGCCTCCACACCACACTTCCAATATGTTTCCCATATTTTTCTTGGAATCGACGATTATCTGTGTCTGTGTGCCTCCAGATGGATCCCTCGTAGGTCGTAGGTCGATCCAGCGTGAGATGTGCCGTAGAACGATGGGGTTCCTGCCGTGAAGCTTGGCGACGTTAGATCGTCAGATTTTTCCACGACGTCGGATCTTCGGGCTCCTCCTTCTCCTCCTTCTCCTCCTTCTCCGCCTTCTCCTCCTGCCTCGTCTTCCCTCCTCCTGCCTCCTCCTCCTCCTCCTCCTCCTCCTCCTCCTCCTCCTCCTCCTCCTCCTCCTCCTCCTCGTCCTGCCTCCTCCTCCTGCCTCCTGCCTCCTCCTCCTCCTGCCTCATCCTCCTCCTCCTCCGCCCGTCTGCCCCTAACGTCATCCTCCCCCCCTCCTCCCGCCTCCCTGCTCCTCCTCCCTGCTCCTCCTCCCTGCTCCTCCTTCTCCTCCTCCACCTCCGACTCCTCCGTGCTTCTCCTCCCTGCTTCTCCCTCTTCATCCATCCTCCTCGCTCCTCCTCCTCCTCCATCCTCCCCCCGCTTCCTCCTCCAGTCTACAGTCCCCGCCATCCTCCTCGCTCCTCCTCCCTTATCCCTCATCCTCATCATCCACCCTTCTCCTGACTCGTCCGCCCGCACTCCTCATCCTCCTCATCCTCCATCCCCTCTCCTGATATAGAACTCCTCCCTGTCGAACCCCGTAACGTGTTAGCGGGGCGGCCCGGGCGTTTCGCCTGAGACATTCTCACCATGTATGATTCAAAAACTTGAACTCTGCAACAACTTCACAGATGGAGGGCTGCCCGATTTGAACAAATGTGGCTGTCGCGCTGGCGCCGCGCACATGTGCTTTAAAACGTTTCGAACAGCTTCGAGGAAGGAGGGCGATCCGTCTTCAAACAGTGACTCTCGCTTCGGCGCCGCGCGCATTCGTCTTCAAAGTTTGCAACAGCTTCAAGCATTGGAAAATAAGGCTATCCATGTGTCTATCGCCTTAGCGATGCGCGCATTCGTCTTGAAACTGTGCAATCGCTTCAAGTAGTCGTGGGGCTGAAGTCGCTGGAATGCAGGGATGGTTTTCTGGCACCGTCTAGGATTGTCATGACGCGACAGTCACGTTGATCCGCGGCGCTGAAGTCCCAGGAATTGTGTTATGGCACGGATGAGGACTCTCAGACGGTTGTCTCCGAACGGGAAACTGCCCGCAGTGAAAATAACTTCTTGTAGGGAGGTGTAAGAGGGATCTTGAATGAAGGGTGTTTTGCACCATCGCTGGTGCGCCTTGAACTTACACTAGTCCTCCTCCTCCTCGTATTCCTCTTCGCTACTCCTCCTTCGTCTTTCTCCTCCTCCTCCATCATCCCGCCACTTCCTTCTCCTCTCTCCTCCTCCTCCTCCTCCTCCTCGTTCTCCTCCTCCACATCATGCACTGTTGGGCACGGGTTGGCTCCAGCAAGCGTTTGTTCCGCTGTCCCTCCCGGTCCTTACTATCCTTACATGTCTCCCTCCACAACGTCCGATTACACCGCCTACCTCTTCCTTCTTCCTCGTCCTCCTCTCTCCTCCCCCCTCTGTCTTCTTTTCCGTCCTCCCTTCTCCTCCCTCCTCGCTCCTTCCTCATTCCTCCTCCTGACTTCTCCTCCAATCTCTCTTTCTCCTGCTCCCTCCTCCTCCATCTGTCGTTTTCGTTTTCGTCGTCGTCCACCTGCTAATCCACCACCACCACCTCCTCTTCGTCCTCCTCCTTCTCCTCCTCCTCCTTCTCCTCCTTCTTATCCTCCTCCTCCCCCTCCTCCTCCCACATTCCTACTACGTGCCGCGGTGATCGGCTTATTGTTGATCCGTCACGGGCGTCTTTGCCGTGTTTGGCTCAATTTTCTTCCTGCGCCTCCTCCTCAGCCTCCTCCTCATCCTCCCCTTCATTCTCTTCCTCCTCCCCGTCCTCAGTATGTTCCTCTTCTTTCCAGTTGTCACGTCTCCTCTGTCTTCTCCCCAGCGTCCTGTCTCTGTATCTCCCTCTATCTCTCTCTCTCTCTCTTTCTCTTGCTCGCTCTCCTCCCTCCTCCTCCTCCTCCTCCTCCTCCTCCTCCTCCTCCTCCTCCTGACTTCCTTCGCTTCGCTTCTTTTCCTTTCCTCGTCGCGAGGAGGGGGGGGGGGACGAGAACGACGACGAGGACCTCGTCCTCTCCGATCCTCCTCCCCCTCGTCTTCCCCCTCCTCCTCGCTCTCAGCATCCCCTTACTCGCCACGAGAAGGAAGAGGGACGAGGCGGACGACGAGGACCCCGTCCTCCCCCCGTCCTCCTGCCCCTCCTCTCCCCCCTCCTCATCACTCGCAGCGCCTTCCTCCTCGTGACGAAAGGGGGGACGAGGAGAAGGACGGCGAGGACCTCGTCCTCCCTGGTCCTCCTCCCCCTCCTCTTCTTCTTCCTCCTCCTCCCTCCCTCCTCCTCCTCCTCCATCATCATCATCATCATCATCATCATCATCATCATCATCATCATCATCATCATCATCATCATCATCAGCATCAGCAGCAGCATCATCATCATCATCATCACGCTCAGCGCCCCCCTCTTCGTCACAAGGAGAGGGGATGGGGGAAACGAGAGACACGACAAGGACCTCGTCCCTCTTCCGTCCTCCTGCCCACACCCTTCTCTCTCCCATCGCCCTGCTCCTGGTGACGGACCACATGGGTGCTCCGTTCTTGAGCTCAGCGTGAAGGCTGGGTGCATGAAAAAGTGTAAGGAGTGGTGTGCACGCGTCTGTGCGCCTGCCAGAGGCGGGTGAACCCACGGCCAGCGGAGGCTAAAACAGCGTGGTGTGCACACACGGGGCTCGAGCGGTGAGCAACGCGGGCTTGCTTCACCTGTTCAGGCCGGCTCAGCAGGATGGAGGCTCGCTTCAATACACCACCCTGGAAAAGTAGCGCAACTCTCGCGCGCGGTCCGTCTCCCCGCGCCCCTCAATTTCAATGGTCGCGCGGAGCGCCGCGCTGCTCGATCTTTCCGCCGTCGGCCGCGGCCGACTCGACATGGAGATCAGGGTCTGGGGGGTGGGGCGGGGGGAAATCGTCGAGAACATAGTTGCAGCACTACTTCTCAGGGGGCTGTAGGAATCGAGCCGGGAGACGCGACGAGGACCGATCGGGCCTCGCTCTCGGCGCACCCCCCCCCCGTTGGCAGCAGAGGCGCAATCACACGGCGGAGGCCCTGACGCTCGGCGGAGGCCCGTTGCCCCGGCCGCACACCAAAGCGGCCCCAGGCACGAGCGTGGCACGCCCGAGGTGGGCACGGTGCTCACCAGCCAGTGTTGCCCAAGAGTGACAGCGGCCGCTGCTGGGCAGGCGGCCATGGCCTCAGATGGAGAACTTCTGCGGCGACGCCGACAGCGAGCCCTGCTCGACATGGGCAGGAGCTGCGGTCGGTCCACGACCCCGTGCTGCACCGCACCCGTGTCGATCGTGCCCACGGGCGACCTTTTGGTGCGCGACCTGCGGATCTCGGTCCCAGATCTCCGGCGACACCTGTGGTCTTCTCAATCCCGGCGCTGCTCCTCAAACTCGGCTTCTGGGGCCCAATATCGGGAACAGGGCCGTCGAACACTGCCTCCTGGAGGAGAGACTGCCCCCTGGAAAAGGGTCGGGAGCTCTGGCCGTGTTAGCAAAAAAAGATCGGAGAATTGTCTGGAGTCGCGGCTTGCGTGCTTTGAGTTGATCCCCAACCCTCCAAAGACTGCGCACCAAAGGTCACCCCAGCGAGAGGTCACCCTTGCGTGTGGCCGAATCTTGCTCCCGACGCCAGGAGGGGGGCCGCTTTGGGCCATCGTGGGGCGCATTGAGGCCCCCTTGGGGCCGCTTTGGAGGCTGCTTGAGCCGCGATGGGCCCCCGAGGCTCAAGAGAGGGGAGGAAACCACACGAGCATCACTGTTCTTGGCCTCTGGAAAAGCGCTCCTGGGGGTCCTTTCGGGACTCTGGGTTGGGCCCTCTCGGGGCCATCTTGGGCCGTCCCGGGCCCGTGCTGAACCGTCTTGAGGCCATCTCGGGGATGGACAGACCCCCCTTTGATAAAACGTGGTTTAGTGAAAACGACCTGCGGCCCAAACCTGGCGGGCGCAAGCCTGGAAAATAACGGCCACGGCGCCCTCTCGAGAACCGGAAACGGACAATTCACTAATCGACGTGTCACTGTTGGGGGCTCTGTCCACCCCCGACCACCTTTCGGGTCGGGCGAAAGGGGGGGGATAGCAAAGGGGGGGGTTGAGAATCAGCTCACGTAGCTGATTTTCCCGGCGCCTCCCGGCGCCGGAGGCGGCTAATGTATCGAGGAATGGGCCCCTCGGTGGGGCCGAGACCAGCTGCACGCAGCAGATTTCGTACCCCCCCCCTCTCCCAATGCCCCCCCCTTGCGCCCGGCCCGACCATCTTGAGCCGCTGCGAGGCCCTCTTGCACACCCGCGGGGTCCGCTTAAGCGGCCACCGCTGCACGCCCTCAGGCTCCCGCTGCTCGGCCGTCGGGCCGGGACCTGGGAGGGCGCCCACGGCGAGGCACGGCCGCCGGAAGAGGCGCGGGGGGCCCGAGAGAACCTCCTGAAGGGACTCCGGCAGCGAGCGGGGAGCGTGCGGCGCCAGCCTCGCCGCCCTGACGTGCACGCAGCACATGAAGAGGCCCAAGGACACACACAAACAAATACACACACACAGATAGCAGGATTCCCCTATATCTTTACATGTTTGGGGGGTTTTCGTCTTCCCCCTCACTTCCCATATTTCTCCATATTTTCCAGGGAGTCGACGATAGATTGTGTCTGTGTGTTTTTTCCCTTCTGAACACAGCACACAGCACACGGCCTGGAGCGTGTCGACACCGAGCTGGACGCGCAGGTCCAGAACGCAGGTCCGGCGCGACACAGACTAGCCAGGACGCAGGCCAACCTGGACGTTTTCCACACCTCCACGCAGCGCGTTGAGCGCGGACGACACGGTACGCGGCGCTGCGAGTCCACAGGGGCGCATCAGGGCAGCTTCGAACAGCCTATAGACGCCATGATCTTTTCATGACGTCGACCTCCCAAAATTTCGACCTCTTCCCCGGGACCGGTGATTCATACTGAGTCGTTTTTTGACGGTCCTGTGGCCCGGTAAGGGCCCCCAGGGGCTGGAAAGTGTGATAAACCTCCCGTCGTGATTTTTTTCAATTGCTCGAAGGGGGTCCGGGGACCTGGGGGCGAGAAGCCACCCGCGAAGGTCTCCCGCGCGGCCGGGGCGGCGGCAGCGAGGAGCCCGCGGCGCCGCCCAGCCAGGCCGCCTCCCCGCGCGCCGCGTCCGCGAGGCCGCACAGGGCCGCGTGGACGGCCACGCCTCGGCTCCCCCCCCGGGCGCGTCGGGGCGCCATGCACCCTCGTGGAATCGATACATCCGTAGGTCGGGACAGCCAGACCCCCTCGAAGCATGAAGCAAGCACGACGGGACATTGTCTAAAACTGTGTTGGGCCTATCTGGGGGCCACTACTGGGCCTCAGGACTGCCAGAAATCTACTCGGCATGGAAGCCTGTCGCGGGGAATCGGTCGAAACCTCTGGGGGTCGACGCCACGAAAAAATCATGACGTCGGGGGTCTGGGGAGGGTCGACGCATGAAGGAGGAAGACGTGGGTAATCCATGGGGTCTCCGCCCGCGCCCCGAGGACGGCGCACGGAGGACAACCACTCGGCCCTTGAGGTAGGAAGGCGCCAGTAACGTAGATTGGGATCGCGGGATCCAGGGATACCGACGTCCAACGACCGATGGCTGAAGTCTCAACGGCTGGTTTTGCGACTCGTTCGGGATACTGGGCGCCTGCCCCAAGGTTGCTGGGAAGCGTGTGTCTGTGCCATCGCGGCGACACGCCGGACACACGCCCCCGACGGCGTAAGAAGCTATTTGATACCGTGCTTCGCCTGCTGAAGGATAGGAGACTGCGGCGGCAGCAGCGGTGGCAGGACGGTAGAGGGAACCACTTCGTGGACGCTCCAGCCTCTCCCCAAAACCCAAAGTTGACGCGCGGGGGGGGGAGACTACGGTCCAGGCGCCACTCCTTCCACCCACCGCCAACATGGATCATTGGAGGGGGGGCGTTGACAGATGAATGTGGCATGAGTGTTCGCTAATGAAGTGCCCCAGGGACACACAAATAAATACACACAATTCCCAGGAATCCTGCATGTGTGTGTGCGTGTGTGTGTATATATATATATATATATATATATATGTGCGCTGCCCCTCCTGAGCGAATGTCAACCGAGGCCTGCAGCAGCGACGGCGATGGCGAAGGCCGGCGAGGGGCTTGGCATTATCGAAGCTCCGCCGCCAACCCTGGGGGCGCGCCTCTCCGCCACCACCCCCTTCCCGCGCGAGGGGAAGCGCGGGAGGCGCGGCCCTTGTGCCGTTGCACATCGGGGGCGCGCCGGGGAGGAGGGGGAGGAGGAGGAGGCGGAGGGGGAGGACGAGGAGGAGGGGGAGGAGGAGGAGGAGGAGGAGGAGGAGGAGGAGGAGAAGGAGGAGGAGGGAGAGGAGAAGGAGGAGGAGGAGCAGGAGGAGCAGGGGGAGAAGGATGAGCAGGAGGAGGATGAGGAAACAAAGGGGCGTGTCTGCCCAGGGCCAGCCTTAGCCACAAAAACGAATCTCCCGACCAGGATCCCGGGAGCGGCGAGAAAACCAGAGGCTCTCCTGAGCCCCAGGTGGCCCCCTCATGTCAGCGTCGTGGCTGCTTCGGAAGCAGTCACGACGCTGACATAGGCCTGAGGATTCTGGGACCTTCTTCGCTGACGAGACGATCCACCACCGCTCTGGAGGGCGCCTCCGCTGACGCCCCGAGAGGGGGGGGGCTGGCTCCTCGAGGATCGACGTTCCTGGTACGAGGATTTTTGGCGAGGGGGAGAAGGCGTTTGACACGGGAGCGACCGTCGTAGTATTCTAAGAAGCACGCCACGAAAACGCTACTGGAGCAAAGGCATGTTCGAAAAAACCCAAAACATCGTTCGCTCTCATACATAAGCCCGCGTCCTGTCGCAGCATTCTCTCAGCCATGAGTGCTCTAATCGCAGACTGCATGAACACCAGGAGATCATTCGAGCATCAACTAGTGGCCCTGTATGCAGATCGGGTGGCCTCGTCACCGCTGGGGGTAGGAAGCCGAAAGGAATGCTCAACCGCAAGTCTCTACTATCATCGTCCTGCTGCACGAGCTGCGCACTGGCTGCTCTAGCGCACACCTCCGCGGGCGCCTGGTCTGCATTCGGACCCCTACGCTGGGTTGTACGCAACCAAAGAAGTATGGCATGTCTCTGGCCTGAGGAGAATCCTGGACGGCGGCCTAGGAGTGGCAGGAAGTCCCCCCTCCTCATCCTCTCTCTGCACTCCAAACATCCGACGTCTCGATTGTTTCGAGACGCGGCTCCCAGACCTCTCGACCACTCCCCCAAGGACTGGTTCTTAGGATCGAGTCGTTGGTTCGGCGGCCCCGATTCCCAGTGATGGCCCCGAGAGACCAAGCACGAGGAAAAACGACTCTGTCTCGATCTTGCTCGAGCCGCTTGATGCCTGGGCCCTCCCCACCCCCTGAGAAAAATAAAAGGACCCCTAACCCTTTGGCAGGGGCCTGAGCTACAACCCCGTGCGAAAAGCAACTGGATTTTTCTACACGCCCCCCTGCAGTTTCAACGTTCAATGCGGTGCCGACTTGTTTTTTCGAACTTCCGCGGTCGCACGATCAACATTGAAACGGGGGGGCCCGGGGGCTCGCCAAACACCAGCTGCTCTTCGCACGGGGCTGTAGGGAGTCTTTTCTGCAGACGTGGCGTATCAAACCAAACCACCCAAACTCATTCTCCCCGATGCAGAGAGGGTGGGACTTGAGTGAGGCCACGTCTTCACGAGGATTGCGGGGAAACCAGAAAGGGTACCGATACCGCTACTCCCCAGACCTCTCCTGGGGTGCGCTCTGACCAGGGCTTCCAGGCGCATCCCGCGGTGGCGGCGAAGGGCCTCTCCCAGGAGGCCCAAGCAGGGGGAAACGGGCGGAGAGTAACCGTATGCCCAGTCCCCCGACGTCATGATCTTTGCCATGACGTCCATCCCTAGAAGTTTCGACCCATTCCCCGGGACGGACTTCTCTCATCCTGAGTCGTTCTCTAACGGTCCCGAGGCCGGGTCGGGGCCCCTGAGCCTGAAAATAGTGAGACCCCTTCCGTCGTGACTTCTTCATGACTCGAGGGGGGTCCGGGTGGGTACCTCTTTCCGCTCGGAGCTCTCAGGGCTAGGGGTCCTCTGATCGTCGATGACCCCCTGCCCGCCGCGCCGCTCCGCAGCGCCGCCGCGGCGTTCGCCCCGCGCTGCGCCGCTCAAGGGGCCCAGGGACACGCAAATAAATAGGCACAAATCCCAGGATCCCATTTGCTTTCCCATATCTTCTAGGTTTTCGTCTTCCCCCCCTTCCCATCTTTTCCCATATGTTCTACATTTTCGTTTTCCCCCCCCTTCTCCTATTTTCCAATATTTTCATTACGTTCTGAGTTTTCGTCTTCTCCCCCTTCCCATATTTTCCAATATTTCCACATATTTTCTAAGTTCTCGTCTTCCCTCCCCCTCCCAGATTTTCCAATATTTTCCTGGGAGTCGACGGGTCATGGTCTCTGTGTGTGATATTCTCCTCCTGCGCCGCGCGCGCCGCACCCCGCGCGGCGGCCGCGGCGCGGGAGGGCCCCAGCTCGACGCGCGGCGCGGGCAGGGCGGCACCGGACGCACGTCGGCGCAGGGAAGGAGGGCGAACCACGGCCGGGGGCTGCGAACCCAGACATGTGCTGCCCCCATCGCACTTAAGGACCACATCCCAGAAACAATTCTGGGCACTCAGAAAAGTGCCGAAACAGTGTCGGACGAGAATCGCCTCGCCGGGCCCGACACGCGAAAACCCTTTTGTTTCGGTACTTTCTTGGTGCTCGAGATTCTTTCTGGTGGTCAAGGCTAAGTAAAGTAGGATGGAACATCATAAACCCAGACCCCCTCGCGTTGTGAAAAGATCGCGACGGAAACGTGCACCTGCCCTCAGGTGCCCCCAGCTCTTCGCTTAATCTTGGAGCCCCCTCTGGGCCTCGTAAGGGGTGCTCTGGCGCCTCGGATGATCGAGACGGAGAGCCTTCTCTTCGTCCTTGGCCCCCTGGGGCCCTCACCTGGCCTCGGGACCGGCAACCAAACGGCTCGGGACCCAGACCCCCGACGGCATGATTTTTCCACGAGGTTTCGACCTATTCCCCAGGACTGGCTTCTCATCGCGATTCGTCGTTTTTTGACGATTCCGAGGCCTGGTGACGGCCCCCAGAGGCCGAAAATGGGGAAAAACCTCCCGTCGTGGTTTTTTCATTGCTTGAGGGGTTCTGGAGATGCAGAGCCAGTCCCGGGGCAGTGGTCGAGAGGTCGTCGCGTCGGGGGCCCCCGAGAGAGATCCGCCACAGGCCCCTGCATGGAGGCGAGGCCGGACGGTCTGGAGCGGTGTGGGCCAGCGGGCGCCGACATCGACGAGGCAAGCGCCCTCCCCCCCCTGCAACCTGCCCCTATAACCATCCTCGACCTGATCCCTACCCCGAAGCAGGACGCCCAGACCCCCTCGAGTCATGACAAAATCATGACGCGAGCTTTTCCACCATGTTCGGCCTTGGTGTGCCCTTACTGGGCCTCGGTACCGTCAAAAAACGACTCGGGATGAAAATTCTCGTCCCCGGGAGTAGGTATGGCAATCTGGTAAGAGGATGAGCCCACAGAATCTGAGGGACTCCTTCGGATCGGCATCAAGATGACTTAACGGAAATCATGAGGACAGGGATATGCTTCAGGCTGGTACACCCCCCCCCTACGTTGCCCCTGATTCCTCCCCCTCCCTAGACCTTGGACGTGATTTTCTCGCGTCGTAGACCTGGAGGCTTCGAGCCCCCCCCCGGGGACCAGCTTCCCAGACCCAAGACGGCATGATTTGTTCATAACGTCGACCCCCTGGGTCTCGACCCATTCCCCGGGACGTGTTTTGCATCCCGAGTCGTTTCTTGACGGTCCCGAGGCCCAGTAAGGGCACACCAAGGCCGAAAATGATGGAAAATGGGTCTGTGTCGTCTTGGGTCCGCGGGCTGGAAATAAGCGCCCCGTCGGGTGTCTGGCGTCGGCATGCAAGTTCTGGGTGTGGATTCAGCCTAACTTTTGGGTGCCTCGGAGGCTTCGCGCCTCCACGACAGGATGCCTTTGGCATCTCACAAGGGAAGTCCGAGGATCGATGCCAGGAACCTAGACCCCTCGCGCTGTGAAAAAAAACGCGACGGGAGGCTTTTCTATATTTTCGGCCTCCGGGGGCCCTTACCAGGCCTCGGGACCGTCAAAAACGACTCAGGATGAACAACTGGTCCAGGAGAATAGGTCGAAACCTCTGGGGGTCGACGTCATGAAAAAATCATGACGTCTAGGGTCTGAGATGCCTGCCACCCCATCCCGAACCAGGCCCCCCTGCCCAACTGCCGTGCCCGGGCGCGAAGGGCGCTGGGCGATCCCGCGAGAGGTCACTCCTCGCCTACGGAGCCGTTGTGACTGCCGGCTCCGCTCGGCGAGCTCGCCGCGTGCTTCTGCCTTGCCAGCCTGGCACGTCTTGACCATAGCCGCTACTCAGAGCGCCTCTGGCCCCACACCCCCGACGTCATGATTCTTCATAGCATCGCCCCCCGTGGAGGTGTCTTCTACCCATTCCCCGAGGACCGGCTTCTCATCCCGAGTCGTTCTTAGAAGCTCTGTGACGGCCCCGAGGCCCGGCAAGGGCTTCCAGAAACTCAAGATAGCGAAAAACCTTCCGACGTACTGTTTGCATGGAAGTCTTGGGGAAATTAAAAGGCACTGATACCGCTACTACACTCTGACAAGAACTTCGAGACGAGTCCAGCGGTGGCGACAATACACGGCTGCCAAAGTAAATCTCCGCGCCCTCGGCACGCCCCATGCAGAAAGAAGGCATCTCTTTTCGGACCAGGCAGGGACTGAAGAAGGGCGGGCGCGACAGAACTCTCACCCTTTGCAAATAATGTGGCGCTTTGGGGAACGCAAGCCGTGGGGGGGTCACATACGAAATAAGTCTGTCTGCAGCAGCGCAGTCAATCAGGCCCCCGGGGACTTTGCGAAACCAGGGCACTGACACTCTCTAGTAAAATGCAGCCGTAGGTCGAACCATTCCTGATTCTTCGAATCCTCCCGCTGTCGATTGCACAGCCCTGGTTTGCAGTGCCCTAGTTTCCAAGACCCTGAGGCAATCCCCCGTGGAAGGCTTCGGATACCGCAGTGTCACGTGGCCCCGCAAGGGGTAGCGCTTGCATGTGGTCGCAGGTTCCCGACACCGTCTACTGATGCTTCTCGGGAATATTTGGATGGCGGGGCATTGGCACGCGCCATATGGGTACGGAAAACAATGGGCAAGATGACCAACAGCAAATGTTGTCCCAATCGTCAGCGGCCGCTGATGAGCAAGTGACGTTTTCCCTCTGGTGGACCTCGTCAGCGACGACACAAGCAACAGGCCTGTTCAAACTGGACAGGGACTGCTGTCGGTATTCGCCCCCATTCTTTCTGTAATTCCCCATCTCGATCGTACAGGTGGCAAACGTTGAGGCGGTGGGATCAAGATGTGCCCAGCGACCTCAGCTCCTCCAACACCCTCTTCGGCTTCTCGTCGGCCTCCTGCTTGACGCCGCCGTGCTCTTCCTCGAGTGTCTTGCCAGTCTCGTCGACCTGCGTCTTCACCGACACCTCGAACTCCCTCTTGATGTCCTCGCCCGCGCTCTTCCACTGCCTGGCAGAGTCCAGCAGCGTCGCGGCCGACTCGTCGGCCGCCTTCATCGACGCGGCAACTGGGCCGCTGTTTTCGTCAAGGAGCTCGCGGAGGGCGTCTGCCTTCGGCAGCTCCTGCGTCCCGGCCGCAGCGGTGGCGGGCAGGGTCCCGGGACCTCCGGACACGTTCAGCTTCTCGGCGGGCAGCGTCGCCGGCAAGATCCTGGGCTCGTCGTGTTTCTCAGCGGGCGCAGTCGCGGGCAAGGTGCCCGGCTCTTCGCGGTTCTCAGCGGTCAAAGTCGCGGGTGAGGTCCCGGACTCTTCGGACCCGTTCTGTATCGCGGCGGCCAGCGACCCATGCGTGTCGGAGATGTCCCGGTACGCCGCGATGGGCGCCGCGAAGAGCGCCGTCAAGAGGATCGCACACAAGGCCATCGGTAGCGTAGAGGCTATCGCGCTCGCGACTACAAGCAGACCGTTTCTTTGTGGAAGGTGGACTGGGGGCCGAGCGTCCGAGCCTTGAGGCAGAAGTGGGCATCAGGACGCGATCGATGCGGGCTTCGGATCGAAAGCCAGTGCCATACATCCCCTCTCACCTCCGACGTCGAACGTTCTCTTGTGACGCTGGCCCCCAGGGAGCTCCACCCTTCTCCAGGGCCGGCCTTTTCTGCGTGAGTGGTTATTGGACGGTGATAGGGGCTGGGAAATCGCCTCCAGATACCCAAATGCAGAAAACTGAGCCGTCGCGATTCTGATCCGTCGTCTGGATGCTGCTAGGATTTAGCGGAAGTCCGCCGCCGATTAAGTCGCTAACGGTTACTCGACTCGCTCATGATGCTCCACGATTTCTTCGGATTCCTCTGGAGATCTCCGGACGGACCTCGGCGTATACGGATGAACGTCGAACTCGGTCGACTCGCCTTGAAATATTTGTCCATGAAACACAGGCCCATCCATAGGGAGCCATAGGGGAAGTGAGAAGGGGCGGGCCTGCTCAGACGGTTCGGAAGTCCCCCAGTCTTCTGAGATGTTTTCTAAGCCTTCCCCGGAGTCACAAACAACCTCTCAGAAGGCGCGAGGGCTTCTGAGAAGTCCCGCCGCCTTATGAGAAGGCCTTCTCCTTCTCATTTCCCCCCCCTCGCTCGCCGCCGAAACCATGTGTTATCCCATCTCAGCTGGCACAGTGGCGCGACTCGAACTGCCACTACATATGTCGTGTCACTGTCCCCCAACGACAGCGTGAAGCAAGCCCGATGCCTGTGGTTGCCTCTCGCTCCGTGGCGCCAAGGGCGTGTGAAACAGGGGGAAGTAGCAAAGCGGAGGAGGACGCGGGACAGGAAACGAGGCCCATGCGCTGTGGGCGGGACCCCCATGACCCCATGGGCCATTCGCATCCACTGCACAACGGCAGCCAGGAGGGGGAGAAAGAGGGGCACAGAGACACAGAGAGAAAAAAAGAGAGAACCGAGCGAGGGACAAGAGTAGCGTAGCGCGTGCCAAGATTTTACTAGCACGTGCTAAGAGAGAGAGAGAGAGAGAGAGAGAGAGAGAGGGAAATAAAGAAAGAGACAGAGAGAGAGCGAAGCACAGAGAGAGAGAGAGAGAGAGAAAAAAAAAAAAGAGAGAGAGAGAGAGAGAGACAAAAAAGCAAAAGAGAGAAAAAGAGAGGGGAACAACAATTACTAGCGTGTACGTAGCCCGCCCCCCCACGTCCAATGCCGCAAGCGGTGCCCGCACAAGTGTCAAGCACAAGTCGGAAACGTCACAACCCGAGCAAAGCCTCAAATGCCCAGGCAGCGGGGCCGCGCCCAGCGAGCAAGCGCCCAGTGCTACAGGGGGGGTGCCGAAACCGGAGGAGCAAGGAGGAAGAGGAGCAGAGCAAGAGGTTGAGCAGGGACCGACCGTCCCGGCATTCCTATACGCCTACCACGAAATAGTCCTAGAACCCAAAAGTGCTGTAATAGCAAAAACAACGTGCTTAGAACATGAGCCCGATGTGTACAAACAAGACAGCCCCAGCCAGGCATGATTAAAGAACATTTCGTGAAGACCACAAACGGTTCTTAGACAACTCTTTGGTGGGCCTATAGGAACGCCAGGACGCTTCGCCACTGCTCGAGGAGGGGGGAACAGACGCTGGGTGCACGCACGCGCCCAGAGAAGGCGGACCCGAACCCCCGCCGCCGATGCCCTTTGCAGCGGCGAGAGGAATCGGGGAGCGCGGGAGGGCTGCCCCGGGTCCGGCCAAGGACCCCGGACCTGGCCGAGCTCGGCGCGCTGCCCCGAGGCCGCCGACCGCAGCTGCCGCCTCGCCGGCCGAGGTCTGGGCAGAACGGGCCTGGGACAGAAGACAAGGGCTCCTAAGTTCGCGCTTCGCGCTGCGCGAAGCGCGAAGCGCGAATAACTTCGCGCTCTCGCGCCGCCCTCCCAAAGGGAGAATAGGAGGACGAGGAGGAGGGGGAGAAGGAACGAGGACCGCGAAGCGCGAAGCGCGAATAACTTCGCGCCCTCGAGGGAGCCCTTGAGAAGAGCATCCTTCGAGAGCACGAGGCCCTCCGCTGGCCAAGCGGGGGAGCACTCGAGGGCACCCTCCCCCCGGGGATGCACGAGGACATCCAACGGGCACGGGGAGCCTTCGGGTACGTAGCGTACCCTCCCCGTCGCGACCTCGATCTCATACCTCGGCCCGACCGCATCTCTCTTCTCGCAGAGCCGCCTTGAGAAAAGCCGTCGAGCCCAGAGGGACAACGTTGTCGTCGTCGTCGTCGCCGCCGCCGCCGCCGTCGTCGTCGTCGTCGTCGTCGTCACCCTTCAGGGTCGGTGGCACCTGCCGTAAGGCTTTCCCGATATCTTGCTCCTGGCAAAGCCGCTTTGAGAAAAACCGTCGAGCCCTAAGGGATCAGGTTGGCTGGGCCCCGGGTCCCCAGCTCTCGGGGTCCCCGAGCGACGTGACGCCGGCGTGGGCGCGCGGGGTTCCCAGACTTTCAGGCCCATGCCCACCTGCTCTTCTCAGCTGCTTCGACGCTGGAGGGGAAGGACTTCAGGTTTTTGTTTGAGGGGTTAGCTGTTGGTTGTCGAGGGATCCTGGGTGACCACTCTCCCCCTCCTGCTTCTGCTCCTTATCGTCTTTTCCCCTCCTATAAACTCTACTGCTCATCCTCCTCCCCCTTCTGCTCCATCACTTCCTCCCCCCTCCTCCCATCTCCCCCTCCTCCTACTCTTTCTCCCCCTCTCCTCTCCTCTCTTCTCCTCATTTCATCATAAACGTGTGCAAGCCGAAAAGATTGGCTGCCGCACTGGCGGGGTGGTTGTGCTCGGACGGGTCAAGCATCACCAAATAACCATGTGCTGGTTACTCAGTCTCGCAGTGTGTGTGTGTGTGTGCGTGTGTGTGTGTGTATGTGTATGTGCGGGTGCGTGTGTGTGTGTGTGTGTGCCTGTGTGCGTTCGGCGAAAACGCGCATATCCCCCCTATCCATTCTCCCTCCTTTTCCAGCCTCCTCGTCCTCCTCGTCCTCCTCGTCGTCCTCCTCCACCTCCTCCTCCTCTTTCTACTCCTCCTCCCCCCCCTCCTATTGACATGATACGTCCTCTTCTTGTCCTTTCTCCTTCTCTACCGCCTCATATCCCCCATACTTGTGACCCTTGCAGCATCATCCAGGATGATGTTGGAAGGAAGCGGGATGATTCATCCCCCTTCCTTCTCCTACCCTCTCACTGTCCTCGCTGTCATCCTGCTGCTCCTTCTCCACCTCCTTCCCCATCCCACGATGCCCCCCGTCGCCTCATCCGCCCCACCACTACCCCTAAGAACGCCCAGGGACGCTAACAAGAACCACACACACAAAACCCACCCCATAAAACTCTCGAACACTTCACTCATCGCTCCTCCGCCCCCGCCTCCTCCCACTCTGCTACTCCCCCCTCCTCTCCTTCTGTGAACCCAGAGCGGCACTTGATTGTATCACCACGTCGCTATCCACGCCAAGACGTATGTACAGGCGCAATTGCCCGGGCGTTTGGCGGACGTCCTCCCTCCCTCTTGGAAGATGAGGGTATAGATCAATCAACCGATCGATCAACGAATGACTGACGACGAGGTTGCGACGACGGATGAAAACCATCTGGGGCCCTGCTGACCTGGATCTCGAGCAGAGCAAGCGACGGAAACTGCAATGACAAGGGACACACACACACACACACTTTGTCGGCCGCAGCGCGGCAGAGGCAATCCGCACACGCGCTCAGCAAGCCAAGACACGCACAAACACACACTCACACAGAAATGGAGACAAACCGTGACGGGCACCGGAAACCCTGAACCGACAACACGTCACATCTTGGGGGCACACCTCTTGCACTTCTGCAAGCCTCCGCTGGCGGAGTCGCCCATCCACTCTCTTTCCGCCGCACCTCCGCGCCGTCTTGCGCCGATGAGGAAGCGACGTCCACTGGAGGCTTGCCAAATGGGGTCCATTTATAGATGGGCTCGGAAAATCGCACCGCCGATGCATCGGCGATACATCGCTGATGCACCGGCGACGTCGGCGATGCATTTTCGCGACGCGGACGTGGAGAAGATCGGGAACCACATCGAGCCGCATCGGCGATGCATCGGCGATGCACCAGCGACGCCGGCGCGACCCGTCGACACGATCTGCTCGGACCCCGTTTGGGAGACCCTGATCAGCTCTTCGGCTCGAATTAATGGGGGGCGAGCCTCCTCCTCCTCCTCCTCCTCCTCCTCCTCTTCCTCCTCCCCTTCTCCTCCTCCTCCTCCTCCTCCTCCTCCTCCTCCTCCTCCTCCTCCTCCTCCTCCTCCTCGCTGCCCCCCCATCATTCCCAGACCCCCGCCGTCATGATTTTTCGTGACGTCGGCCCCCGGAGGTTTTGACCCCTTCCCCGGGAACGGTTTTCCATCCTTAGTCGTTTTTTGACGGTCCGGAGGCCCGGTGAGGGCCCCCAGAAGCCGAAAATTGAAAAAAAACCTCCGGTCGCGATGTTCTCACTGCTCCAGGGGCTCTGGGTCTATCGCCCCCCCCCCCCACGCGTCCTCCGACGCTCCCTAGACTCCCCTTGACGCCGGAGGCCCGGTGAGGGCCCCCAGAAGCCGAAAATGGTGAAGAAACCTCCAGTTGCGATTTTCTCACTGCTCGAGGGGCTCTGGGTTTATCGCCCCCCCCCCCTACTACGCGCCCTCCGACGCTCCCTAGACTCCCCTTGACGCCGGGGCCCTTCCTGCCACACTCAGGAGGGGGGGAAAAAACACACAGACACAATTAATCACCGATTCTCTGGAAATATGCAAAAATATGGGAAGTGGGGGGGAAGACAAAAAAACCCAAAATGTAGGAAAGTATGGGGCATATTTTTATTTGTGTGTCTTTATTTGTGTGTCCTGGGGCCCCTGCACACGCTCCGCACGGCCCGGAGCGTCTGCCCGGGCAGCCGCCCCAGGCGAGGCCCGCCGCGCGCGCGCGCGGCGCGCGCGCGCGGCGCGCGGGCCGCCCGAGCCCCGCGCTGCCCGCCGTGGCCACGAAGGGCAGCCCCAGGCGGCGGGCGTGGCACCTGCTCGCCCGACGGCGACGGCCGCGGCGGCGGCGGAGGCCACGGCGGCGGCGGAGGCCACGGCGACGGCGACGGCCACGGCGGCGGCGGAGGCCACGGCGACGGCGAAGGCCGCGGCGACGGCGGAGGCCGCGGCGGCGGCGACGGCGGCGGTCACGGCGAAGGCCACGGCGACGGCGGAGGCCACGGCGGGGCGACGGCGGCGGTCACGGCGACGGCTGCGGCGGCCACGGCGACGGTGACGAGAATGACGATGAGGAGGCGATGGGCATGGAAGCGCTCGCGTTCGCTGCGCCCTGGACGCGTTGTCACGCAGGCGGTCCCGTCGAACAGAACAACGGGTTTCGCCAGCGGCCGCTCGATCCGCGAATCTCCCCGAGAGATAACGCGTGAGCTCTCTGCACCTGGTCTTCCACGAATTTCCATGTAGTGCGCACTGCATCCAGTCATTCCCTTCCTACAAAACCTAGCGAACCGCCCCTCCGCTGATATGCGCAATTGCTAATGCAACGCGTTGCAATTCAATATAGAAACGACCCACAACAGCATGTGCCTTACCCCTTTTCCACCTCCAATTAATCCTCCTCCTCTTTTTCCTCCTCCTCCTCCTCCTCCTCCTCCTCCTGCTCCCCCCTCTTCACCCACCCTTCCCACCTCCTGGAGCCCACCCCCGTCCACTCTTGTTCAAACCGCGCCCCGCACCGCTTTCTGGTCGGAGCGGCTGCCGCTTTCGCCACTAGAGAAGGGGGGGCCCAGGCCACGAGAGGGCGCTAGAGTCCAAGAATACAAGAGGGTCCCCGTAGGCCAGGGCGCAAGGATGCAAGGATGCTGGGGTGCAGCAGTTGTCGTCGTCGTCGGATCATGGTCGTCGTCGTCGCCGTTGTCGACGACCTTAGTCGTCGTCGTCGCCGTCGCCGCCGCCGTCGTCGTCGTCGTCGTCGTCGTCGTCGTCGTCGTCAGCCGAAACATAATCGAGGTAACCGGGGAGATCTGCGGGGGGATGCGGGGGGCTGCAATGAAGCCCGATCTGTAGCAGCTCCGCAACTTTCAACAACATACACATGCAAACCGCCAAAACTAATCAGCAGCGTTTATTCGGACCAGGAGACCGACGGGCATGGCAACGCGACGCGTTCTGCAGACAACGCAGTCGACTCTCTCTGTCGGCGGCGAGGTGAGCCCACTGTCGCGCGAGGCAGCTCACAAGGCCACTACAAACTGACTCACCAACCTGCGTTGAGGCGGGGTGGGAGAAAACGCAACGCATTGAACAAACAACGCAATCGACACGTAAACACCACCTTTGGAAAGAAAACTATTGCATTCCCACATTATCCCAGTGCGACCCTACCTAGGAGTTGAAGCCCCTAGGAAAGCAGCATTAGTAGTAACAGTAAAGCTAAGCTAATGCTAAGCTACAGCTAAGCTACAGCTAAGCTACAGCTAAGCTAAAGCTAAGCTAAAGCTAAACTAAAGCTAAACTAAAGCTAAGCTAAAACTAAGCTAAAGCTAAGCTAAGGCTAAGCTAACGCTAAGCTAAAGCTAAGCTAAAGCTGAGCTAAAGCTAAGCTAAAGCTGAGCTACAGCTGAGCTACAGTTAAGCTAAAGCTAAGATAAAGCCAAGCTAAAGCTAAAGCTACATGTAAAACTAAGCTAAAACTAAACTAAAGCTAAGCTAACGCTAAGCTAACGCGAAGCTAAAGCTAAGCTAAAGCTAAGCCAACGCTAAACTAAAGCTAAGCTAAAGCTAACTGAGCTAGGCTAAAGCTAAGCTAAAGCTAAGCTAAAGCTAAGCTAAAGCTAAGCCAAATCTACAATAAAGCTAAGCTAAAGCTAAGCTAACGCGAAGCTAAAGCTAAGCTAAAGCTAAGCCAACGCTAAACTAAAGCTAAGCTAAAGCTAAGCTAAAGCTAAGCTAACGCTAAGATAAAGCTGAGCTGCAGCTGAGCTACAGCTAAGCTAAAGCTAAGCTAAATGTAAGCTAAAGCTAAAGCTAAAGCTAACACTAAGCTGAAGCTAAGCTGAAGCTAAGCTAAAGCTAAGCTAACGCTAAGCTAACGCTAAGCTGAAGCTAAGCTAAAGCTAAGCCAACGCTAAGCTGAAGCTAAGCTAAAGCTAAGCTGAAGCTAAGCTGAAGCTAAGCTAAAGCTAAGCTAAAGCTAAGCTAAAGCTAAGCTAAAGCTAAGCTAAAGCTAAAGCTAAAGCTAAGCTAAAGCTAAGCTAAAGCTAAAGCTAAGCTGAAGCTAAGCTAAAGCTAAGCTAAAGCTAAGCTAAAGCTAAGCTAAAGCTAAGCTAAAGCTAAGCTAAAGCTAAGCTAAAGCTAAAGCTTAAGCTAAAGCTAAGCTACAGCTGAGCTAAAGCTAAGCTAAAGCTAAGCTAAAGCTAAAGCTAAAGCTAAAGCTAAAGCTAAAGCTCCCAGGGGACTGGGGGAACCGCGGGGCGAAAGCTGGGGGAACCGCCGGGGCGGTGTGCACTGCCCGGCCCCTTTAAGCTAAGAGAGTAAGAACCCTTCTAGGCAGAGCCTAGGTAGGGAATAAAGCCCACACTCACAAGCGCGGACATGAATGAATGAAAGGAGAACAAATCAGGCAAAGGTGGACAAACAGTAACGGAAGCCCGTCGAGCAGGCTTAGAGCGACCCTGAAAGTTCTGAGAGCGTTGCGGAACGCATTGGGCTGATTATTCATCACCCTAGGCATGCCTGGGAGGCGTCGCCATTCGCAGCACAGGCCGTCTGAATTGCATGGGCGGATTCTGCCTTCGCGTCCTTCTGTTAGAAAAGCCCGCGGCAAGCGTTATTCTACATCTGGCGGCGTGCCGTCACTCTGAGAAGCATGTGCGGAAACGCAGGCAAAGACGTCCGCAAACTGCGAGAAAACAGTGCCGCCTTTGGTCGCCTCGGGGCCATTCCCAGCAACCCTTATCCTCCTGCGGCTGCCAGGAAACTGAAAACACACGTGGCTGGATCCACAGCGGAGGCTGCGCTGGATGAACATGCGGAAGCCCTGCGTTACCCGCCATAGAAGGGACGAGCTCACGACAGACATCTGGTCACAAGTCTATCCAGCTCTCGTCCAGGCCGGCCGCGTCATGCGTATCCAGTTTCCTGGTAGAAAAAGCCACCCACAACGTGCACACTGGGATCTAGGACAGAAAAATATCCTTCAAGAACATGAGAACCTCTGCCAAATAAAGAAAAACACATGACATCCAGGGGTACCCTCAGGATGCACAAGAGCGCCCAACAAACACCAAGAACATTCGGGCACCCTCCCACAATCGACCTCGATCTTCTACCTCGGCCTGACTGGAACACCACAAGCGCCCAACAAACCCCGTTCCCGACATAGGAGCAAGGGAGGCAAAAAAAACATCGCAGCTCCCACCGGGCCGCCGCGGGCCTCCAGCTGAGGAACAGGGGCAGCTCCCCCCTCGCGAGGACGGCGGTGACCTCCGCCGCGGCTGGCTGGCGCGGGGCACCGTGAGTATACGCTGCTATCCGCCCCCGTGCGTGAGATGATGCCGTGCAACGCTGCCTCCGCATCCTCCTTCTCCTCCTCCTCCTCCTCCTCCTCCTTCTACTTGCAGGCCCCGTGCGTGAGATGATGCCGTGCAAGGCTGCCTCCTCCTCCTCCTCCTCCTCCTCTTCCTCCTCCTCCTCCTCCTCCTACTTGCAGGCCCCGTGCGTGAGATGATGCCGTGCAAGGCTTCCTCCGCCTCCTCCCCCTCATCCTCCTCCTTGCAGGATCAGTCCGCACCGAATCGAGCAACCATACCGAATTGACATGTACGTCGGGCCCGGCTGCACCGGCACGGAGTCGAGCTCGGATTGGTTCCGCCGCGCCAGGATGCGCAACATCGCAGTGCAGCGTTGTCTCCTCCTCCAACTCCTCCTCCTCCTCCTCCTCCTCCTCCTCCTCCTCCTCCTCCTCCTCCTCGAGGGTGTCGCCCTCCTCCCATCATCCCCCTCGTTGCGGGTAGCTGGAGTGTCTCGTCTCCCTCATCGTCATCGGCGTCGTCGTAGTCGTGGTCGTCGTGCGTGCTGCTCTGCTCGGCGCTTGTTTCCCTTGGCAACGACCACCACAACTATCTGCTTCGTCGTCGTCGTCCTTCTGCTTCCCTCCGTGATGGTCACGGCCTGCCCCATGCTCAAGCGGGGTGGCGCATGTCCTCCAACGCCGACCCACCAGGGCGAGGCACTCGCGCCAACTCGGGCAGCCCGCCCAGTCAATCACCCTGGAGAGCATGGTTCTTCTGAGAGGTGTCTCTGACCGCCACCGAATCTCACTACAGTGCGGCTGGCACAACCACTGTCTAGACCATGAGAAGGAGGAGGAGGAGGAGGAGGAGGAGCAAACGTACCATAGAAGGAGGAGGAGGAGGAGGAGGAGGGGGAGGAGGAAGAGGAGGAGGGCGAGGAGGAGTAGGCGAAGGAGGAGGAGGAGTAGGAGAAGGAGAAGGAGAATGAGAAGGAGGAGGAGGAGTCCAGGAGGAGGAGGAGGAGGAGGAGGAGGAGGAGGAGGAGGAGGATGAGGAGGAGGATGAGGAGGAGGAGGAGGACGGGGCTCTGGCGAAGGTCAGCCCTGGTGACAGCACGGGCTCGGAGGGCGCCGGCGGTCGACCTCCAGGCTCGGTCGACCGCGGCACCTGCACCGCCGCCCTGGGGCTCCCGCAGGAAGCTGGAAACATGCACGGCTGCACGCGCCCGTGGCACATGGGGAGGCCACGCGGGGGACACTGTTTTTTACGAGCGCGAAGGAAGCCCTGTGGCACGGAGTGGAGGGAAGCGAGGCGGAGGGCGGGAAAAAGCGGGGGGTCCAGGGGAGGCGCGCACCCGAGCGCGACGCCGCGAGTTCACGAACTGTTCGGGCGCCCCAGGCCGCTCGGCCAGGCGCTCACGCAGAGCGACCCGCCACTCGGCGTCGGCGCCCCCTGCGCGCACCGCCGGGAGCAGCAGGAGCGCGGCCGCCCGTGGCGGGAGGACTGAGGGACATATGTGCAGAAGGGCAGTGTGCGCAGCCAGAAAAACATCCGGCCACACGCGCCCGACTCAAGAACCCCTGATTCCACCAGCGGAGGCGTCTCGCTTTCACTTCCGCCGCCATCCGCCGGCGGACTCGCTTCCATGATGCGTCCGCCGCATCCTGCGGGCCTCCGGCCGAGGGCGAGACGGCCGCCGAAGGCGAGGCTGCTTCTGCCGCGCGCCGTGCGTGTCCAGCTCCCGCCCAGGCCAGCCACGCCACGTGTGCCCAGCACCTGGTCGGAGGTCCTCCTGCTGCCCCTTGGGCCAGCGCGCGAGTCCTGCCCATCGGCCGCAGCTGCGGGGCGGGGCTCGGCAGGCGGTGGCTCTGTGGATGCCTTTTGGCCCCCTCCGTGGGCCCGACCACGTCCGTATCCACCGCCCGCCGAGGCCCCCGAAGGCCCCGTATCCCCCAGGCAGTGGTGACGGATACGGCCAGGGAGCGTGTGCTCCGCGTGTCGCCACGGCGGGCCCTTGCGGCACGCTGTGCCCGGCGGGCGGATCGCGCGCCGCTCCGCTCCGCTCCGCGGGGCGGGAGGCTGGCAGAGGCTCGTGACACTCGAGGCGCCAGGGGGCGCGGAAGTGGATCGCGCGCCGCGCCGGAGCGCGGCGGGCCAAAACCGGAGGAGCGACACGCCACGGCCACACCTGGCAGGCCAGAAGGACATCCTTCAAAAATATGCAAAGGCTCCTAAGTTCGCGCTTCGCGCTGCGCGAAGCGCGAAGCGCGAATAACTTCGCGCTCTCGCGCCGCCCCCCAAGGGGGAGAAGAGGAGGACGAGGAGGAGGGGGAGGAGAAACGAGGACCGCGAAGCGCGAAGCGCGAATAACTTCGCGCCCTCGGGGGAGCCCTTGAATATGGGACCCTCCGCCGGCCAAACGGAAGAACACTCGAGGGCATACCCTCCCCAGGATGCACAACAACATCCAACAGCCACGAGGAACCTTGGGGCACCCTCCCCGAACCGACCTCGACCTTTTCTACTTAGGCCGGGCCGCATCCAAAAGTGCCCGACCGTAGAGATCCCCGCCTCGGAGGCTCGGCACACGCCTCCAGAGGGGCCGTGGGCCGTCAGGGTTGCCTGCCCCAACCAGACCTCGACCTTTTCTGCCTCGGCCCCCGGCCCTATCCGAAAGTGCCCTACGGTCGGGTAGAGATCCCCGCTGGTCAACCAAAAAAGGGCCCCGAACTCTTTGGGAGGGGACCTAAGTCAGGAGGGCAGAAAAGATTAGGGATCGCGGGTCTTTCCTGCAGACATATCGAACCAAACCGCAGAACTACTATCCTTAATGCGAAGACGGGAACTTCAGTGAGGCCGCGTCTTCACTGTGATACTGGGGTTAGAGGTCGTGTTATTAGGGTCTTAGGGTCAGGTTTAGGGGTCCCTGTATTCTGGATGACCCGCCTCGGGATGCTCGGCCCGTTCGGTGGCAACTCATGGAAGCCTCCCCTGCCCGTCTTGTCGGCTCTTGCGAATCGGCGCTCACCGACGCTAAATCGACGCTAACCGACGCTACATCGACGCTACATCGACGCTTATCGACGCTCACCGACGCTACATCGGCGCTGTCTCATCGACTCCCAGACGCTAATGCACGCTAGTCGACGCTGACGACAAAATTACGAGGGGTACACGAGGCTCCCATGACTTGCTACAGAATGAGTAGAACCTCGTATCGAGGTTACCTCGGGAGTCCCCGAGAGCTGTCGGGCCTGGAGGACGTGCCCGGCGCCTTGGCCGCTCCATGAGCGCTCCGGAACGCTCGGAGAGGGCTCCAAACACGCTCTCGAGCGATTCATGATGGGCCGATTTTCCACCACCACTACCATAGGTAGGAGAGGGAAGAGGAGGAGGAGGAGGAGGAGGAGGAGGAGGAGGAGGAGGAGGAAGGAGGGGAAGGAGGAGGAGGAAGAGGAGGAGGAGGAGGAGGAGGAGGAGGAGGAGGAGGAGGAGGAGGAGGAGGAGGAGGAGGAGGAGGAGGAGGAGGAGGAGGAGGAGGGGGAGGGGGAGGAGAGCACACGAGGTTCCCATGCTCTGCTGCCGCATCGGAGGCTCGGCCCACGCCTCCCGCGCGGGGCCGCGCGCGCGACGGCCAGACAGGGGGGGGGCGACCAGCACGGCGCTGCCGTTCGGCGCGGCGGCGGCCGCGCCTGCGGAGGGAGGGCTCCGTAGGGCTCGTCTTGCCACCGCCGCCGCCGAGCCGCTGGCGCGTCGGCGCGTCGGCCGCCGGCCGCAAGCAGGGCCAGCGCAGCTTGAGCCTGGCCGCGCCCTCCGCTCCTATCGTGGAGGGGTACCTGGCCAGACCTCCTCGCGTGGTGGCAGAAATCACGACGGGAGGCTTGTCGCTAGTTTCGGCCTCCGGGGGTCCTTCCTGGGCCTCGGGACTGTCAAGAAACGACTCAGGATGAAAAACCGGTGCCGGGGAAGGGGTCCAGAACTCTGGGGGTCGGCGATATGAAAAAATCGCCACGCCCTCCGCTTCTATAGTCAACTCGTACCACAAGGACGCACGATAAGGACGCAAGGGCCTCGGACGCCCATTTCGAAGCTTTTCGAGCGGGGCGCGGCCAACGAGAGTGGCCAAGGGCGGACCGAGGAAACAATGATGCACGGCTACCCGTGGGGGAAAGATGCCCATCCTTGTCATGCGGGCCGACTGTATCGGGAAGACGTAAGACTCAGGTGCGGGGGACTCGGCTTGGCCTGACGGGGCCGTCATGAAAATGACGAAGCCCAATCTGAAATTTGGCGCGAGCTCCTGCCGCAAACGTCCCACGAAGACTGGACCGTCAAAATCCGGGACGCACTCGTCAAAACACGTCGGCAAACCCGAGTTCCGGCGCACTCGAGTCTTACGTCTCCCAGATTCTACAGCCGGAAATGTGACCAACAAACGCATCACTGTTGAAGAAAGCTGGGCCAGCTTTTCGAAAAAACTTCAGACAAGCCTGGACCAAGTGTTCAGTTGTTGACGCTGGAGGGGCGAACGCGCTCAAGAAACTGGGCCAGCTTTCCGGCAAGTTGGCCAAGTAACGCTGGCCCAGCTTTTCGGGGGGGGAGGGTTCTTAATCAGACGCTCGACTATAGTAGAGAAGCCAAAAGGTACCCTTACCGCTACTCCATTGGCCTATCCTGGGGCGCGTTCTGAACAGGATTTCGAGGCGGATCCAGCGGTGGCGGCAAGGGCCTCCCAGGAGGCCCCAAAAAGGGAAACGCGAGGCAAGGGTAGCGGTATGGGCGCCTCTTCCTCCTCTGATCCAGAGGCCTCCCTGAGGAGGTGAAGAGGGAGGCAGGCGAGGAAGAACCAAACTGTAGAAAGATCAGCGTTCGGAGGTACGCACCGCCAAAAGGGAGGTCTGGCGACGATCAAATAAATCCGCGCGGACCTTCAAAACCTTGAATCTCATGGCGTGCTTTCTTCCTCTGGAG